GAAGATATGAGGTACACACTCTACAGCTCTAAATCGGACAGGCTGCAGCGAGATCTGGATGCTGGCACTGGCGCTGCTGTTTGAGGCTCAGGTGGGCCAGCCGGAGGGTTTAGTTTGCAGAGTTTAGTGTTGCAGGGTTTGGGTTTAACATTTATAGTCTTTAGGGTTGGGGTTGTGGGGTTGTTTTTTAATTGGATGCTTGATGTGATATCCTTAGCTTGCGGTCTTGTCTAGGTTCCCAGTTCAGACCAGTCCGTTTTCGGACCCTGTTTAAGTGTGGAAGCCCGAGGTTAAACCCTTCGATGATTAGGTTCTTGAGGCTTAGGGTTCAGGGTTAGAGAAGCCTGAGCCCTTAAACTAAACCCAAAGGGTCCCAGATACTGTCATGGGAGTCATTCCTAATATAGAAACCCTACATACTTCTATATAGGTACTTTGGACCCTTTGGGAAACACTCTACCCTAAACCCTCATTGGCTTGAGCCCTCCTTCTTGAGCCCATGGACCAGAAAGTCCATGCCCTAGTCCCCAAACCCCAAGCCGCAGCACCTCCCCTACAAGCCCCAAACGCTAAGTAAACCTGGCTTAATTAGAGGCTTAGACCTTACCCTATCCCTCCAGGGACCTCATAGTTAGGGCCCTAGACCCCTTAAGGACCCCATAATAAGGTCCCTGGAGGCATAGGGTTAACTGTACACCATAACACCTATAGAATCAACGCCCCTCCCCGCCCGAAGTACGAACCAAGCCAGCGAGGAGAAGAGCTTGGTGGCCTTCAATGCACTGCGATTTGCCAGTTATCAGGATTTTAGGGCTTTAGGGTTGGGCTTGGTGTTCAGATATGGCAGTTTCCGAAAATAGGGGACCCTAACATAGTACCCTGAATAGTAGGGTCCTTATTATAAGGGCCCCAGAACAAGGTATCCCCAATTGTCGGAAGCTCCCATATTGCGGTTTGGGGACATTCAAGGCCTTAAGGATGCAAGGTAAAGGTTTAGGGCTGCTTGAAGAGGCCTTATATAGACCCGAAAGTTGTTGCACCGAAGGTGCACCCTAAACTCCAAACAGGGTTCTAGGGTTGAGGGCCTTAAAGTCTAAACCCGCAAAAGCAACTTGTTTTGTTCTTGCTCCGGGCTCTGCAAACCCCAACCTTAATCGCTTCAGCCTGATACGCGAGCCCTAAAACCTTTGTGCACTACACCCTAAACCCAGTCCTGTGATAATGTAAAGGTTCCTGGAGAGGTATATCGGTACTGTAGGGTGCTGGGGGGTTGGAGTTTACCCTAAACACCAAAAGATTAGGCCAAAGACGCCCGAGCCAAGGCTCGCCACATTGGCGCAGCATGCTACCGCTTGGAGCCGATCACTGGACCTCCTTGCAGCCGCAGAGCACAGGTCCCGGGCCTTTTGTCGAAGGGTCCTTCATTCACCCACACACACACAGATACATATATATATATATATATGTATATAAAGATATTTGTACGTACAAATCTACACAGACACAACAGTAATAGATACCTAAGTAAGTATGTCGTAGAAGTCTTATAGGTTCTGGGCTTGCAGGGTTCAGGGTGTAAGGTTGTGGGATCTTTGGGCTTGGGGTGTTCTGAGCTGACTACGAGCACGACGCAGAAGGATCAATAGCTTTAGAAGCGTTTAGCTACAGCCGTTGTGTAAATCTCTGTCATGCTTAGCCGTCATGGCCCCCATCCTCACCAACGCCATTACCACCATCAGTTGCCAGCACATCTGATTCAGACTTACAACTATGCATACCATATGTATTGCTCTAAAATACAGGGTTCTTAGCAATTCCCTATGCCAGTTTTCGAAAGGGGGGGGGTTGCAACTATAGCAAAATATACCCTAAAACCTTATTTTAATTATTGAGGCCCATAGATTACTCTTTCACTCGAGACTTGAGCGAGTTCTACGCGCGGCTAGAAGGCTGACGCAGCACCGCAACAATCCAGTCTCTGGTGATGTACCTACGGCTGCGCCACGATGCACACGACATGATACGACCTCAACAAAGACGAGAAAGACCATGATGACTATGACGATGGTTTTGGTGATGGTGCTGCTGGTGGTGAGCTGCGGTTAAGGTTCCTGACGCCCACCGACCTAGTATGGGGGGTCTAAATCAGTACCATCACATACCATCACTATGTTGGGGCCGCTTATTGCAACTATACTACACCCCTAAACGCTATTCTTATGATTTCAGCCCCTGTGTTTTCCAAACCGATCCCCAACAAAGTACAGAAGCAGCCTTCGTGATCCAAATCTTCTTCGATGCAACTTGAAACCTATTGGGACAAAGAGTGTCTTCAGTTTGGGGCTTATAGGGTTTATCTTAGGGTTTGTGGGGTTAGGGCTTAGAGTTTTACGGCTTAGGGGTCTGCACCTCAAGTGGGCTCTGGAGCTGCGCATCCACAACGACCCTGGAAAAACTACGTTAAATCCTGCGCATGTTTGCCTGGAAGACTTTTTGTGCACCCTAATGACGGCAAGCATTGCTGAAGTTCTTATCGTCCTCCGTGTACAGATTACGTTTTGTTCAGGTACAGTCTTTTGCAGTCATGAAATCTGGGCTTCGGTTTTTCTGGCTTCCAGAATCGTAAATTTTTTTGGCTGTGAAAGACTATATACTGCAGTGCAGGAAGTGTTTTCCTTAGAGTCCTTAGAGTATTCCCATGGGCTCCATAGTACTTACTTTTTGGGGTTACCTTATAGGTTTCTACATATGAAGACCGAAAAAGGAACCATTATGGAGCTTATGGGTTACGGGATGTTTGTGGGTGCTTAAGTTGAGGGTGTCTGAGGCTCCGGAAGCCCAAACCCAGCCCCGAGGGCTTTGCGTGCTACTTTAGGGTTTAGGGTTTAGGGTTTAGGTTTCTACTATAGGAGCCTCAATAATTACCCAGAGGCCCCAAAGAAGTTCCTTTTCGGGGTTCATATATAGAATCCTTTAAGGTAGTCCCAGAAAGGAACTACTTTGGGGCCTATGGGTAAGAGTTATCTACATTATTTGGGGGGGTTCCTCACTATGCCCGAGCTTTGGAGTTCCATGCTTCAGTACTTTTTTCTTTAAGGAACCAATTTGGAATAGAAGCTTCTACTTCTTTCTACTGAAAAGCGCAGATACTTAAAGCACAATATACCCCAAAACGATAGTCGAATTATTAAGGTCCCTATATCCTAGTGCCCTTATAGATCCCTTCTAGACCCGTTTAAAGGAGCCCGATTCTGACAATTAAGGCCCCTGTATTACATGCTGACTTGTCACCTGCAGCTTCATTGGCTCATCGTTTTGATGCTAACTGTATGCGGCACCGAACAACCAGCATTAGTTTGTGGACAGGGGGCCTAGGTGGCTTTAGGGTTTAGGGGTTAGGGTTTAGGGTTTAGGGGTTTTGGCGTCGTTGCTCATAATCGCAGATGCTTAGGAACTTGTTCTCCTGCTGCCCCGTGAGTCAAGATATCTAGCCCTTCGCGTCCTTATGCACTGCTACCCAGCTACTGGCCCCGTACTTCTGCTACAGCTAGACGCTCCTGTAAGAAATCTACAAGGGTTCTGTACCCTCCGGCCGTTGACACCTTAAATTTTCTGGCGCACGCACTACGCCCATCGGCCTCCTGCGGGCTCGCATCTAAGCCTCATGGCTTCGTTAGATGGGAGTTTCCGAAAATTTGGGGTACCTTATTTGGGGTCCTTATAATAAGGATCCTACTATATCGGCTACCATATTGGGGTCTCCTAAAATTTGGAAACTCCCATGTGTAAAGGTTTAAACCCCAAACCAAACCTCCAGGACCTGAAGAAGCCCTAAAAGCTTGAATAATGCCCAGTACTGTTTCATTGCGACATAACTATATGATTATGGCTACTGTATTATGTAGATGGTCATGGAGAGCAGAAAGTGATTCTACTACGTTGCTTTTTCCGTTGTTTTTTTTTTTGTTTTTCCTGCTTTCTTTTCTTTGGCTATGTGGCTTAGGGCATATGCTCCAAGGGTAGTAAGTAGGAATGCGATTCCAGAGCTCTGAGGGCCTTCAAACCAGCAGTGCAGAAATGAAGGGCTTAGACTGGCAAAAAATCATTAAAGGAACCCTTAGTGCCCAAAGGGTCCAAAGTAGCTTTATAGTAGAATGTCGGGTTTCTATATTAGGAATCACTATTATGATTTGGGGAAGTATCCCCCAGAACAGTACCTCTAGGACCCTTTGGGGTGTCGTTTGGCCCGGCTTTCAGCGCTCTCTTTGGCAAGACCGATCATTCTCCGCGAACGGCGACCCCAGGGTCGGACATTGTTGGGTTCCGAATAAGGGGGTTTAGGGTTTTGGGTTTAGGGTTTAGGGTAGAAGCCAGAAAGTTGGAATATCATTATCGTATCCCCTTTAAGGTAAATTATATGGGATCCTACCATTATTCCATATTCCAACTTTCTGGAGTTCCCTTTAAGGGTTCGCTCGGAGAGCTGCCTGGTTCCCGTGCAGGTTCCTGCAAGGGGTGTGGGGCTGAGGATAGTTTAGGGTTTAGGGTTTAGGGTTTAGGGTTTGGGGTTTAGGGTTTAGGGTTTTGGGTTTTGGGTTTCGGGTTTAGGGTTTTGGGTTTAGGGTTTAGGGTTTAGGGTTTTGGGTTTATGATGACGCCGCCAGGTTCAATGGCATTGTCAGTGGAACCATCACTAACGATGGTGTAACACCGATGGCAGCTACATATCGATTGATTCTGCTAGAGGGCAGAACCGGGCACATGTGCATTGCTGCACGCAGTGCTTCAACCCTACAGTAAACCCTAAGCAAGCCTGAATTCTGGAGTTGCCTCTGGAAACGATGCTCCGCAAAGGACTAGAGATTGAAACTCCTAAACCCCTAAACCCTAAACTGCTAAGCCCTAAACCCTAAACCCCCAAACCCCTAAAGCCCCAAACCCCTCAACCCCGAAACCCTAAACCCCCAAACCCCTAAAGAGCCCTAACTCAGGCGAGCGCCATGGCTATGCCAGCCACTGGCCGTGCCGCAGAAGTCCTTGAGCTGCTGCTTCAGTCGAAAGCTCAGACCCAACGGGTTGTTGATGATATCAATCCTGCATTACCCACAATAAGGAATATGCCATAATTCCCATAGTTTAGGGTCCTTAAGGTAATGCAGGATATATATCATCAACCGAAGTATTATTATGGTATATGGGAGTTTCCGAAAATTAGGGGTACCTTCCTTTGGGATCCTTGTAATAAGGGTCCTACCATTTAAGGTACTATTTCAGGGTCCCCTATTTTCGGAAACTCCCATATACTTAGACCCCCAAAATACCCTATAAGTATATACCATAGTGATACTTGGACAGTTTTGGGAGAGGGACCCTGTCAGGGTTTCCATAGGGTTCAGGTTTTGGGGACGTTGGGTTTACCAGCACCACCCAAGCCTTTAAAGGGCCCGAATATTTCTCATTAAAGGGAACTCCGGAAAGTTGGAATATGGAATAATGGTAGGATCCCCTATAATTTAACTTACAGGGGTTACGATAATGATATTCCAACTTTCTGGCTTCTACTGTAAGAGGTAATTAAGGACTACAGTAAAGGGTAGTTGAGGGGTCTAGGTAGAGTCTAGGGTTTTGGGGTTTAGGTTTAGGGGTTAGAGTTGAGGGGTTTAGGGTTTAGGGGCTGAGAATTTGGGGGGAGATAGGGGCTTAGGGTCTTCATAGCGTCTTGCACGGTTTCGAAAGCGCTGAGAAGGGGTGTTCATAGTAATCCATCCGGATTTAGCCCAAGCCCCAAATCCTAAGACCCGCTTCAATCCCCGCTCAAAGCAAACCAACCACACTTTCTTAAGGCATACAGAATAATTTTAGTTCACAAGGGACCCTAGAATTTTAGTTGCTTCTTCTGAGAATGACCCCATCCCAAACCCTAAGGCCCTAAGGAAAATGATCAATCTCATGTAAATCCAAGGCCTCCTAGAATGAAACTGGATGGAGTTCAGTGGAGAGGTCGTAAAAAAAAACAGGTGCATGTACATAAAGTTCTGCGAAGCTCGGGGGAAGACTCGAAATAGACTCACGCCCGGAGAGGGCTTAGGGCTGTAGGATGAGGGGTGGGGGGCTTTCTGAATAGGGCATCGGAGTTTGTAGTGTACAGGCCTTCTTTCCTTAGGTTTACCCTATCCCTCCAAGGACCTCATAGTTAGGGCCCTAGACCCCTTAAGGACCCCATAATAAGGTCCCTGGAGGCATAGGGTTAGGGTTTAGGGCTTCAGGGTTTACATGAAGCCTAACACCCGGAGTGTGTCGCACTGTCAAAACCTAAGGGTCCAAGTACCCAAATAGTAGGTTTTCAAGGTGCAAAAACCATTCAGAGTATGGATTTTGAGACCTAAAACCCTACTATTTGGGTACTTGGACCCTCTGGGAAAGCAGCAGGTGCCGCAAGGGAGTGAAGCTCCTGGCCGAAGAAAACACGTGGCTTCGCTGCAATCCTTCCCTACGCCCAGAGAGCCCAATACCCCTTAATTAAGGAATATGGCTTAAATTATATAGGGCTTCATATTATGATTTACGCTATATTCCTTATTTAAGGGGTATTGGGCTCTCTGGGTGCCTCCCGGGACCTTATTATGGGGTCCTTCAGGGGTCTAGGGCCCTAACTATCCTAGAGTTCCGTAAGACTCCAAGAATCTACTTTGGATTCTAGGGTCTATAACTATAACTACACATGTCACTTATTTTGGATTATTTAAATTTGGAGCCCCAGGGATTGGGCACCCGAAAGCCCAAGCCCAAAGCTTTTCACATGGAAGCCCAGAAAGGACCCACAACAAAGCTATCACCTGGCTTCTCAAAGGGCCAAGCATAATGTCGTAAGGTGATGTGCCCAAGCCGGGTGCTGTGGGCTTACGGATTATGGATTCCGGCTTTCTTGTCTGGGTTACTTTCCGATTATTGTCTAGTGAGAGAGACAGAAAGAGACGGAGAGCATTTGTGTGTATGGTTCTGCACGTGTTCGGGTTTTAGGTTTGCTGTTTAATGTCTATTCGGTTGCAGTGAACGACGCCGAGCCTTTCGCAGTCCCGATAGTACCCGGGATGGAATCTCCGTTCGAAACGTGAGTCGCCGAATCCCAGCAAGAGCCCCAGTACTTAACAACTGCGGACCCGCTTGCATACCTGCCTACTACATCAGCTTGCCTTGCATGCTCTTACGGGCTTGAATACAGTTACCGGACTATGCAGTCCCAAGATAGAAACCCCAAGAAAGATCCGAAACCCCAAACGTTCCTAAACATGCACCCTCCTTGTCGAACCCACCCCTCGCCACCACTTACAAAATTGGCGGCAGACCATTATGTAGGTGACTGGAGCCCCCAGCTATATGGCAAGTAATTACCCTCCATTGTATTTCCTTTTTTAGGTTTCACCAAGTTTACAAGCGAGTAGGATCCTATAAGGTAACCCCAAAAAGGAACTACAACGGAGACTATAGGTACTTACCCTTAACTTAGTAGCTGAGTGGATACACTTTGCCACTTTGCACTTTTGGTGGATCATATTACCCAAGATGAAACTAAAACTGTACACTTTGGGGGGCTTATGAACTCAGCAACTAAGCTAAAGTCTCAATCTATAGGTATTAAACCCTAAACCCGAAACTCTAAAACCTAAACCACTTACCCTTAAAGTCTCAATCCTGCATTCAGGCTCCTTCGGGAGCAGCTCGGCCTGAGCGAGGAAGTGTATGAGGCGCGACGAAACTATCGGAATCATCAGCCGGTTTGAGCTTAGGTTTTGCCCTAAACCCTAAACCCTCAACCCTAAACCCTTAAACCGTTTTGAGTTTGGGGTTCAGGGTTTTAGGGTTTAGGGTTTAGGTCATGGGGGCCTCCACACGCCTACGCAAGTCGCCCTAAACCACACACCGAAACTAGGATGCCCAGTAGTACCCTTATTCCCTTTTTGTAGTCCTAGGTTCCTTATAAAGTTACCCAATACCAAAAAGAGAGGCGTTTTTATTCTTAGGTTACTGGGTATCCTGGACCCCTAATTTTTCGGAAACTCTAGACCCTAAACCCTTTATAGAACCCCTATAGATCCCTTTAAGGAACCCTTATAGCTTTAGGTTACTGGGTATCCTAGGAAAATTAGTGCACCTCACCCGGACCCCAAAGAACCTCCAGGTTTGGGGCTCCTTCTTACGATAAGTTCTTTATATAATGTCCTTATAACTACTATTTGCTTAAGAACCCACCCCAAAAAAATAAAGAATATTCCTTATGGGTGTACTATAGGGATTATTATTTTTTTTTTTTGGGGGGGGGGCTTCTTAAGCAAATAGTAGTTAAGGAGGTAGGATATTCAAAGCCTAACCCTACCGCTCCAGCCCAAACTGTGGAATCCCCCGGTTCTAGGCTTCGGGGGCGTTTTTCGAGTGCAGGGTGCAAAGGGCCCAAGTTTCATTATAGGATCCTTAAGGGAGGGTGGTTCAAGGGGGGAGGGTATAAGGAATCCTTAGGGGACTGTAAGGGAACCTTAGGGAGTACTAGGGAGAATTAGGGATCACTAGGCTATGTACCCCCGTTGGAGCCCCCTCCCTTAAGGATACTATAATTTCAGTGTCGGAGTGTTTGTCTTTCAGTTTGCCACCAGGGCGCGTGTTCTCCCCTAGTTTTGAATTCCTGGGCTAATGCGCTTAGGGTTATAGGGTTTGGGGGAATATTTGTGGGTATGGTTGGCCGACCCCCCACCCTTCCCAAAATGGAGATAGCTTTCGTGCTACCTTGAGGGCCGCAGTGGCTAGTACACAACCCTACCAAGCCTGAAACCCCCAATCCCAAAACCCTCACCCTATGCCTCCAGGGACCTTAGTATGGGGTCCTTAAGGGGTCGAGGGCCCTAGCTATGAGGTCCCTGGAGGGACAGGGCTCAACCTTCATAAGCACACCAGGACTCCGTGGTGAACGATCTGAAAGACAGTGAGCAGGACCCGGACATGGTCACGTCGATGCGGGGGATCCCAGGAGTTCGGCACCAGAGATGTATAAGATGTAAATAGCCCAAAGGCTCCATGTACCCATATGGTAGGTACTTAGGCCTTGAAGTACCTATATAGGGACCCCTGTAAGGTTGAAGTACCTACTATATGGGCACATGGAGTTTTAGGGTAAGCAAATATTCATGGTTTAGGGTTTTAGGGATTCAGGGGATGGTTTGACAGCATCGGCTCTGCAACAGCCATGCGCTTGTTGGCTTGCCCCCTCCTGTTTGCATTTTCCCTGTCGGTACCGGACCGACAAGCATGCAAGAAAGAATAGTCGAGAATCCCTGCCAGAATGGACTTGCGATTCAAAGCTCCACCTGGTTATCCGTTCCTCACAACAGTGTGTGTGTGTGTATATATATATATATACGCTCATGTTTGTGTAGTGTAGAAACCACACCTGCGCCCCAACCGCCCGTACCTAGCTCCGTGTAGCACGAAAATGATAGCCGAATCTCATGCTCCAAAACCCCAACACTCACACCCTTCCGTTTCCTACACCGTGAAGAACAGTAATTCGACACACTATCCCTTTCTGTTTTGTGGTTGTGGCCCCGTAAGTTGAAAATAGAAGATAGCCAAAGGAGGACCTACCTAAGTCTCCAATGTCTTTCCTGGTTTGGGATGCCTGTTAGGATCTTAAATTGTCAAATTTTTTAGCCCAGAAAACGAATTGCCAATGGATACTGTAGGTACAATTGAGGGTCGAGGTGGATCCTTCAAGGAACCCCTACAGATCCCTTAAAAGCAGCCCTTAAAGGAACCCCCTTTTGATCCCTTAAAAGGGACCCTAAGCCCCATGGCTTTAGCCAAGGCGTTCCTCGTCCGCACGGCCCTCGATGGTCTCAGTGGTGAATTATGCAAATCCGACCTTGGCCTCGTGGCGACAAGTGGGTTTGGGATTAAAGGGAACTCCAGAAAGTTGGAATATGGATTAATGGTAGGATCCCCTATAATTTACCATAGAAGGGTTTAGGATAGTGATATTCCAACTTTCTGGCTTCTACTGTATTGTAAGGATTATTCCCAGAGAGCCCAATACCCCTCAATTAAGGAATATGGCTTAATTTATATAGGGGTTCCTATTATGGTTTAAGCCATACTCCTTAATTAAAGGGGTATTGGGCTGTCTGGGGTATTTTTTTAATTTCCCTATGGGTCCAAGTAGTACAGGAGGCGAGTCTTGCGTTAAGGAGGTTCCTTTAGAGTTTGGCTTAGGAGGTCGAAGGACTCCTTCTTCATGGCTTTTTATGCCTAGAAAGGGCCTAGAGTAGGCCCTTATTCCCCTTTTTAAGGGCTCAAGTCCCTTATTATAAGCCCTATACACCCAAAAGGGCACCCTCTTTATTCCTAGGTTACTCTTGGCTCTAGTAGAAAGGGGCTAGAGTCCGATCCTGAGGAGTAATTACTTGGACCCTCTGGGTTTCAAGTATAACATTTATAGTATAATGGGCCTCAAAGCCCTATTGCAATTACTAAGACCTCTACAGTAGGTTCTAGGCTAGGGGTTATACTTAGAAGCCTAGAGATGTGAGGGTTTGGGGACTGGCTGATATGGTTTAGTGGTTTAGGGTGGAAGGCCTGGCGGACTTTTGACTTCGGATTAAGATGTCAGAGATTGGGACGGACTTCTGAATAACACCGAAAACCCAGCCCCCAACCCTAAACCCCTAAACTTTAAGCCCTGACCCTAAACCGCAACCCCTAAACCTAAACCCTAGACCCTAAACCCTGAACCCTAGACCCAAATCCCCACAAGGTCCTACCCCCTAAACCCCAAGAGGTTTGAAAGAACTGCATTGGCAAGGTTTCCCTTTGAGACCCAGAGGAGGGAGTTCTGACAGGATTTCGGGGCTGCCTAAATAGTTGCCTACACTATTGGGGGGGGGGGTCCTTCTTATAGTTATAGTATAATGTGCACCAGAATCCTGTTCTAATTATTAAGGTCTTATATCAGGTGCTATTCACGAGACTAGTTAGGATTGAGTAGTTGTCAGGGCTTTTGGTGTTGGAGTCGCTAAAGAGTCCGGGCGTTTTGTCGTGAGGGTATATTTGAGTTCCTGTTGTGTGGTCTGCCTAGGGATCCTATTGAGGGGCAGTCATTGCTTGTTTGTTCTGTTTTTCGGTTGTTGGGTGATGGCTTTGGCCAAGGCTCATGCTTGTATGGCTCAGACAGACCCCGCATGGTCCAGATTGCGTAGCATGGAAGCTTGAACAAGCTTGAAGGAGTAGTTGTACCATTCCTCAGGGTTCCTTTGTTACAACTGTAGTACAATATGCTCCCAAAACCCTGTTCCAATAAGGCTCCGGTGCCAGTCGTGCCTTCATAGTGGGACGAACCCTTCATCAGAGCGTTTCATGTCGCATGCTGCATGCCCTTCAAACGGCCAGAAAGCCCCAATGAAGCCACCCAAGAACCCTTCTAGAATCTCTAACTCTTGAGTCCTTCGGACCCTTAATTAAATTTGTTTTTCTTTATCTGAGTGTAGCATCGGTTTGATCTCAAAGGACCTATGCTCGCGTCTAAAGCCCTGGGGCCCTAAATTCCTAGGTCCTTGAACCCGAAGCCCGTAACCTCCATAGCCCTAGCCCCATGTATTCCCCGTAAAAGGCCATCTTAACCCCGAAGCCCAGATCCTCGCAAGAAAGGCGAAGAGCAACTCCAGCGTGCTCTTGCATGAATCCATGGGTCGCAACTCTATGCATGACCCAGTGGCTCGAAGGCAAGAAACGTGTACGGTTTGGTGTTGATGGGTCTCTCGACCTTTTTCCGGGTTCGGGCGACGCCTTCACCAGTAGGGTTGTGCGTCGACGCCGTTCTTTGTGTTTCCACGTCTTTCTAAAGTAGGCGGCGTGTGTATGTTCAATTGGAAAGCCTCTGATACAGAGATATATGATGTGTCTATAGATAGACAGATCCGGGGTACAGGCTTCCCGGTACCAGCTTCGTGTTTCCGGCATCAGCGGGTCCATCAGCCATGAGCGCGCTCCTCAGGGTTTTGGGTTTGCGTGTGAGGGCTTCGGGTTTTGGGGCTTTGGGTTACGTTTAGGCCGCATAGTAGTTCCTTCTGGGATTACCTTACAGGATTCTATGTTTGAACCCCAAAAGGAACTACTATGGGGCCTATGGGTAGGTACTGCCCCCACTCTGCAAACAGTTAGATAATGCATGATATGCTTATGTATAGCCCTTTATATGTCCCCTAACAGAGACTGCTACAGGGTGCGAGTGGTACCCAAGCTTTAGGAAACTTGTTTTGAAACTAGTGTTCATTGCGCGGGCTGCGTGCGGGGAGCTGCAAGCCTACACTTCTTAATCCAAGCCCTGAACCCTAAAAATTAATCGAAGCCCTCTCTCTCTCGCTCTCTCTGATGAGGAGTCCTCGGTCCTCGGTGCAGAGTGGCAGTAGGGATCAACTTTGGGTTTGGAAAGGGTTTCCGATGGCTCGGGGGCCTGTCTTTCGAAACTCTAGGCTTGCAAGAGCGAGAATGTACCGGAAAGCGCAGGTTGAACCCTAAACTCGATTTCCCTGCTAAACCCCAATCCCTAAACCCTGAATTCGGCAGAAAACCCTAAACTCTATACCCTGAAATCCAGGCTTCCACTTCCAAACCCTGCCTCCTTGGGATTGTGGGACTGGAATCAGGGGGCGAATCTCAGAAGCCGCCGGACCGTGGCGATGGTCTAAGAAGCTGCTATACAAGTCGTCTGTTATCGGTAGGTGGGCTGTTGTTGGCTTAGGCAGGGCTCTTCCACGGTGCGCTTCCCGTAAGAGTAAGCTCCCAAGCCCTGAAATAATCCCAAGCTGTACAAGCCCCTACTTGTGCCTCAGACCTGCCTCCAACCCAGAGACTCCAATATCCCTTAATTAAGGAACATACCTTAAATCATATAAGGGATCCTACTATAATTTAAGGCATATTCCGTAATTCAGGGATATTGGAGTCTCTGGGAACATCTGTGCAGCCGAGGGAACGTCCTCACCAGCACCAGAACGGCAAAAGTACACCATTTCGCCGCTGTGGAAGAAGGCGGGACTGGAGGCTTCAGGGTTTCGGGTTTAGGCTCGGGGGTTTAGGGGTTTTGGGACCTTGTTACCGCAGTGAATTTTGGCGAGTTGACGTTTTTTTGTCGGTGTTCTATTTGGCTTCATTAGTTTCTAGCTTGGGTTTGGGGTTGAGGGCACTAGGGTTTTGGTGAGTCAGGTTTAGGCCAGTTGCAGCTACCCCAAAATTTCACTGGCTCACGGCTGCGCAGTGCTTTATACGGCGCCCTTCCAAACCAGGCAAGGAATAGAAATGCCTAGGCCGTCGCTGCAGGCTGTAATGACAAGCTGGCAGGGTTAGCATGTTATAGACATTTACCAATCAGTATGGGAACGGCAAGGGGTAGCAACAAATTACTGAGCACGAAGCCAGTTTGTGCTAAGCTCGGCCACTAAACCCAAAACCGTAAATCTTACATGCCTGAAATTCTGAACCTAGTCTGCAAGGCCTCCCACCCCTCTGCAAGCAAAAATAACCTTGGGCTGTTGGGGTTCTTAGGATTTAGCTATGAGCCTCACACGTCCAGCCTCTGGCAGTTGTAGCACGACGGTGCTATCAGGAGGCTTTCCTCGCGTCAGACAGTTTGGGCTTCGGGGTGCTGCTACCAACTTTGCAGGCAGTGGCTAAGTAGCTAATTAATGCTAACTGCTAACCATGCTTGAATGTCAGGTCGCCAGTTGCGTACGATGTAGTTAATCATGAAAGTTCGGGGTGGTACCGTATGATATGTATGTATCTAACTATTATGTGCATGTATAGTATGTATACAGAATGCATGTGTGTATCATCAGTTCGGTTGCCCCGTCTGCAGCCAGCAGACTTCTGCCTTACGTCACCCACTATTCACAAGGTTCGAGTTCAAAACTTCGCTGCTGACCCTTCCGTTCTCTTCGTGTCTACAACCCTAACCCTACCACAACTTGAACATCAACCCTAGTTACTAACGTATCTCCACATGATGACCCTAAGCCAAAAACCCAAAACTTACCACAACTTAACACTAAATCCTAGTTACGAAGGCTCCTGACCCCGCGAGTCGATTCGTTGCACACTGCAGGGATCCATGCACAACGTGAAAGCCGAGTCTGTGGAGATAGAAGATGCCGCATGGCCGAAGGTTTTTCAGTTTATGGTTCCGTGGTTTGGACGTTGGGTTGTCGGCAGTGGTTGTTACAATAGTCGTAGGTCATGGTGCACGCTTGGGGTTCAGAGTTTTGAACACAGGGGGCTTGTCCGGCGTGGTATTGAAGGCTCCGATCCAATAGCCCGAAATCGTCTCCTAAGCTGCTTTCCGAACTGCCTTCATTGAAGAATCTCGCTGGAACTGCACAAGCCATTCTACAATGTAGACGAGTACAGGAAAACAAGTGGATAAATGTTGATAGTTTTCCCTGCGTACCCCCAGATTAATGAGGAAAACCCTTACTGCAGTGTAGAGTCCGCAAACACGCAGCATTAAGTAGCCATATGTTCCATGAGCTGCACCCAAACTCAGCCAGAACTTCCTTTTTTGTTTTGCCTCAGGGCTCTTCAGGCTCAAATACCCCAAGTCTCGAACACCGTAGACCTAACCCTGCGAGCCTCGAGCCCTGAAGTCCGAAACATTCAGACCGCAAACCCTAGTGAAGCCTATATGGGAGTTTCCGAAAATTAGGGGTACCTTATTTGGGGGTCCTTATAATAAGGATCCTACTATTTAGGGTACTATATTAGGGTCCCCCAATTTCGGAAACTCCCATATAACCTTAGACCGACTTCAACCTTACAAACCTTATGGCACCCACCGCTCAACGCACAAGTTAAGATAGTTCTCACCCTCCAACCCTGGCGCCCTATGCCCTCAACCTCGAAGCCAGCTTCGTCAGTAGGGATGAAAGTGCTTGGGACTATGCTTACCTTACCTCAACCCATTTTTGTAGTCCTTGGTTCCTTATTAAGGAACCCAATACCAAAAAGGAAGCCCTGTTTATTCCTACTGGGCATCCTAGTATTCGTTTTTAAGAAGAAGAGCCGCAGCAGAAGGATCCCGGGATCGCCTCCCCGCAACTCCGTGACTTGGATCTTGCGGAGGTTGAAAAGAGGGGTCCCGCTTTAGGCGGGGTTCAGGGTTGAGGGTTTAGGCTTTAGGAGGGGTCTGCAAGGGCCTTTAGTAGAGTCCTTATCCCTATAAACCCGAATCCCGAAACCCTAAACCCTAAACCCTAATCCCTAATCCCTAAACCCTAATTCCTAAACCCTAAACAGGATGTTTGTGGTCATTAGAGGGTACTTGCGGGTCTAGGAAAGAGGGGTCCCGCTTTAGGGGTGCAGCGTTAGGGTCCCTTTTAAGCGGTGCAGGGTTTAGGGCAAAGGGCTTTGGGCTTAGGATTTAGGGTTTAGGGCAGAGGGCTTTGGGGCTATTGAAGTACAAGTATAGTTACGTATAGTTATATCAAGGACAACTTGGGCATAACATGGGTAATACTTCGGGCACCTGTAATTGTAGAGGCTTTGGGAATTTGTGATAGGGTTTCTTCAATGGGGTTCAGGGTGCAGAAATTTAGCACTTTGATTTTTGCGATTTGAGTTTTGTTTTTGTGTGTGGGGCTAGGGGTATTCGAGCCGAGGGATGAGAATTTCACATGCTGGTGCAAAGACCCAAACCTGACCCATTGCTTAGGAATCAACGTGAAGAGCGCGGCGACAGTGCTCAGGCAGGGCACACAGAGAGCCCATAAACAGGTCACTTCACATTCAGCAGTGTGTTGTTCCTTAATCAAGCGGTTCAAATGTGAATGCAAAGCTTGCAAGCATAGTGCAGTACTTGCTAGGGCCTGCGCAGCTACGACTTTCGATGTCTCGCCGTGTGAACCGGGAACATCCCCAAAGCTTAACGGCTTAACGCAAAACGGTTTCGCTTCATCACGAAAAGGTAAAGCACGGTTACCAGGCATTGTGCTAATTAATAGACTTTCGCAAGCCTGAGGCCCGTCAAGATAATATCGGGGCATGAATCAAGAATCAACAATTATCATCCCCTGGGGCTCCTGGATACATTTTGACTATTAGAATGAGGGTTTGGTTGTACGCAATCCAATAGAACTGGACTTCACTTTCAAAGCGTTCGCGACTTGATGCAGGGAATACTGACCGTGGTTGTTGAAGGTTCCACATTGGAGGGTTTTAGGAGTGGCGGACCGACATCCGAACGAGGATTTTGTTGACTAGACGGGACATCTTGCCGTGCTGCTATGTAACCCTACGATCCTTCTCAGCACGGCTCATGTAAAGAGGTGTCGAGCGCTAAAGTTTAGATATTCATACGCACTGTGTATATATATATATATATATAGATATGTATGTATATACATACATATATATATATATATATATGTATGTATGTATACCACTCTTTGTTATCCACTCCGCCATTGGTTAAACATTCCCCTAATCAAAGCCTTCCACAAAACCCGCCTCAGAACGTCCAAGACTTTTACCGCTCAGGAAGGCCAAGAGCAGGAGCAAGGGCAAGAGCCCCCGAAAAATCAGTAGTAGAGATGACAAGAAAACCTTAAGCATGAAGCCACACTTCGAGTTTCTATGTCGTGGTTAACATATTCATTATATTCCTGAAAGCACGAAATCCCAAATACCTCCCTCATGCGCAAGGTGTCCATCTTTGCCACTGAGCCACTGTCTCAGATTTGGGATTTGAGGCTTAGGGCGTCGGGATGGATGGCTCCAGATGGGTTTCAGGGCTCTAGTATGTTCTAGTGGTTGCGGGTAAGGCGTTCAAAGTGCCTTGATGTTACAATGAGGTGAGGCCTCAGTCAGGTAGATAAGGGAGAGACATTGTTTTACGTGACCGCCAAACGGCGTTCCAGCCGCCAAATCCACCTTGGCTAGGCTCAAAGTAGGAGCTTGCTGCACAGGGCAAGCCATTATCTTGGAGCTTTTGCTGTGCTTCGTTCAGGTCCCCCTAAACCTTATAGACGAGCTGGGGGAGGCTTTCGCTGTTGCTCTGTCAGGCTAGCGGCCGGTAGTCAAGCGCATAAGGCCCAAACCTGGTACGATCCACAAAACCTTCATGCAGCGATGCGAACTGGGGGCCGGGTAGTCCGCTGTACCCAGGACCCAGAGCAACCCATATAACTTTTAAAAATTGGGTATCCTTTTTTGAGGTACTTTGGTTACCCTTGTCATCATTCCGGTGTAGACCCCAAATGCTGGCGCTTTCGTGGTGACGCCGGTATGATCTCTCGTTGTCTGCTTGAGGAGCTCCTCAAACTGAGCACCGCACTGCCCCATTCTGAAATATAGGGCATCGGACAAGATCGGAATAGATGGCTAGCCGGTCTTCTGATGACGTTACTTTCTGAGATTCTGCAAACTGCACTTTTAACCGTCAGCCCTGAACCCAAAGCGCCCTATGCCTCCAAACACTAAACGCCAAAACCTTAAACCCTAAACCCCAACCCATTCCGGCACTCTGTGCTTTCAGGCCCCAACAGCGTGCCAAAGCTGACTTGGGACATGGCTGGCCTTATTCTGATCTGCCTGGGCCTCAGGTCAGCAAACTGTGAACTGCTAAGACAGAGGACAGCTACAACAACAACAGCAACAGCGATGGCAGCAACGCCAGCAGCAAAGACAACGGCAACATCAACATCAACAGCAACAAGAATAATAAGATAACGAGAGCAATAACAACAGGAACAACGACAACAACAATACTAGTACGAGTACTATAGAAGAAGGACAGTGTTTGTAAGAAGAAGAAATAGTGCCAACAAAGATGTGGAGATGACAGGGTTGAGCTAAGGGTTTAGGGTTTATAGGGCTCGGATAATTAGGATTTGGGGTTTAGGGTTTGCAGTCAGGTGTCCTTCATGAGTCCCTAAACCCTAAACCCTAAGCCCGTCACACTTTAAAAAACAAACCTAAACCCTAAACCGTGGCTCTGTTGACTGAGCTTGAATCCCCAAACCCTGTTCCATTTATTCAGGCCTCCGTATTGGGTTTTGCGGCTCGGGCTTTTGGATCTAGGGGTTTGGGGTTCTTGGGTTTACGGCCCTTGGGCTTCTGGTGTGGGGCTCAGGGTCAAAATTTGGTCTACACTGATCCACATCCCTTCGACCAAAACTCTGTGAGATCAAGGCATCCTTGTTCTGCACCAATACTCCCGAATTCCTCGAGAAAGTAGTTAGTCATAGTAAGGGACAGTGGGGTCACTTGGTGAAACCTATATACATCTGGATTTCGCAAGCACCCACAGCCATAGTATAGGGTTTATCAACAATACAGACCCCGAATAGTCCTACTCCCTGTATACGGCTCCTTCTTGCAACTGTATACATACTTTAGTACATCTTCTTGTAATTGTACTATAGTAGATCAAACCTCCATTTGCACATGTAAGCGCTCTATATTCCCATTATTGTTGTTATCATTAGTATTATTATTGTTACGAGTGTTGCCCCCAGAAATCCGAGCTAAACCCCTGAAACCTCGCAAGCCCAAAGCTCCAATGCGTCCTAACTTAGCCCGATACACCTTATAAGCTGCAAGCCCAACCCTAAGCCCTAAACCACGCCAAGCCTAAGTAACAGGCCAGACCTAGCAGTAGAGTAGGTAACCTTTCAACTTTTTGTGGGTAGTATGGTCCTTATAGAACCCCAATATAACCAAGAAGGTTAACCTTAAGTTCCCCATGATACCCGACAAGTAGGCAGAATACCTAAGAACTCCTAGCTACACACTGGAAGCCTGAAGACCTGGCCCTAACACCTACTGTACTGAATCCCACAAATCCTGAAATTGCGAGCTAAGCCCTACAAGTAATAGCCTATAGGGGCCTAAATAACTACCAACCACCTATACCTTTTTTGTTTTGGGCGGTCCATATTGTAAGTATATAGTTAGTATAAGGGGCCCCAAAACTCGATTCTAATTATTAAGGCTCCTGTATTTTTAGTTTTAAACCCCAAGAATTCTTTGCGCCCAGGCTGGGATGTATTCTACATCCCTCTCAGTGTGCTGGATCTGACTCCGGCCCCCCAGCCGTATTTTAGTAGGAAGCATTATGTTCTTGTGATTTGTTTTTGGCTTAGGGGTGTAAAGACTTCAGGTTCAGACGTAGGGTTGATTGCATCAATTAGGGTTTATTAGTGTTTTAGGATTCAGGGTTTAGGGTTTAGGGTTTTAGGGTTTACTGCAGGGTTTAGAGGGTTTTGGGCTTTAGGGCTTAGGGTTTTAGGCTTTAGGGTTTAGGGTTTTAGGATTTAGGGTTGAGGGTTTTAGGTAGGGTTTTGGGGCTTCGGGGTTTTAGGATCGGTGTGTCGGGCTCTGCTTCGTTGTAGAGGATTTTCGGGGAAACTAGGAACAGGATGCGGGCAAGCGACCGCAGCGGAGTCGACCGCGGGCTTCAATTCGTAGTATATATGCAGTATATTTGTTTGAATAAGTACCACTGCAGGTCCGCTTATACGGGGACTAGAATATCCCGCGAAGCCCTAAGCTAATGTTTTCGGTTGCTTGTTATCGCCGTTATTGGAGTATTGCGGACGCTTGAGGTGTAGGACCTATATGAGAGTGTCTTACGCTGAGCATACTCTAAGACCCAGCTGAAGTAAGACTTGCCTTGGATCCGACACTGTAGAGTCTATAAAGCCACGAACCTAAAGAGTTGAACAACGTCTAAGCCCCTAACGGCCAATATCAGCCATAAAGCATCCTTAAGACCCTCAGACCCTGCAAACACAAGAAGGTAAGACCGCTAAAAATACAAAGCTAAGACCGCTAAAAGGACAAAGCAAACCATTATGAACCGTAAACCCTGAACCCTAAACTCTGTAAGCCCTAAACCCCACCTTAACCCGGAATAACCTACCTTTTTAAGGACTTATATGAGGAAATCCTAATAAGGAATCCCAAAAAGGTGGGTTGTTCAGGGTTACGGGCGAACCCTAATCCCTTTAAGCCCTCGTTAGACATGAACCCTAAACCTTAAACCCTGAACCCTATAAACCCTATAAGCCCTAAACCCCAAACCCTAGACTCTAAACTCCCAACCCTGATCACCAAACCTTAAACCCTAAACCCTATAAGTCCTCAAGCCTGAACCCTAAACTCTATAAGCCCTAAACCCCAACGCAACCGGATCAGCCATGGCTGCTGATGCGAAAGTCAGCCCGTTGAAGGGAACAGTCAGTTTGGAATAATGTAGGAGGTTCCGAAAATTAGGGGTACCTTAGGGTTCCATTAAAGGGTTACTAAGGGTACTTCAAGGGTATAGTTCCGAAAATTGGGGATACCTTATTTGGGGGCCCTTATAATAAGGATCCTATTATTTAGGGTACTCTTTTCGGGTCTCCTATTTTCGGAATCTCCCATATAGGGGCCTCAATAATTGGGGGTTCCTTGAAAGGGGACCATAAGGGTTGCGAAAAGAGATCTATAAAGGTAGGATAAGATTATAGGGGCCTCAATAATTACGAATACTATAGTTGCTGAATATAATTACAGTATAATGGGCTCCAAATCCTTATTCTAATTATTAGGGCCCCTATACTATGGCTGAAGAGCAAGTAGAGCAGGAGCATCTGCCGGTGTGGCCTTTCGAGTACGTGAATGGGAGCGAGGTTCTGACAAAGGGGACATGCTGCTTCCATATACCTCGTGCTCCACAGAATTTTGAGGGTTTAGGGTATCGGCCATGCTCGGCCGGCAGCTGGCTGAGGAGCTGTATAGGGTCGAGAAGCAAGCTGAGGCCCTGAGAAATGTCATGATCCAAAAAAGCTCCGCGAGCAAAGCGCAAAGAGCCAAAGCCCCGCCGACACGGCCTTACGTGGTGCCTTCCGACTGGCCGCAGGACGTGCCCATTCCGCCGATCCCACCACCGGTGCCCTCAAAGGCCGTTCCTACTACGCCCCCTGCGAGATCCCGGTCGCCCGTGCCTGCGGCCAAGAACAACACATTGTCGGAGCAGGTGAGGAAGCTTGCAGGAGAGTCGGACCCGAAAGCCTACCTCCCAGCACGCCTGGAGGCTGCTGCAGCCTCGAACGAGTTGTTGCAGGCGGCTGCGAATCGAAAAGCTTTCGGCTGCTCCGTGAAAAACTGGCTAGCAAAGCTGAGTGGCATGTGGGTAGTTCTATAAATTAGGGTCCCTGTTCAAATCCCCAAACTAGTACGGCAACGTTATAAAAAGGACCCGAGAGGGGCCCTGAATTTAGAGAGAACCATCCATATGTTGACCCTCGAGTTCGTGAAGAATCTCGGGTTGCATTCAAGCGATCAGAAGCTCAACAAGCGTTGCAGCAAGGTGCATCCTGAAGATGCCACGATGGATTTGGAAGCAAGAGTGAGTCACTATGAGTGGTCACGGCGAAGCTCTTCGCAGTGGACTCCACTATAACAGCTGTTTAACACCTCCCTTAATTATACCACCAGAACCAGATTCTTCTAGGAGGTTCGAATTATTATGGCTAATATAGCATTCTCAACGACCCTACCAACATGTAGGTTTTGGTAAAGCTTTTCAAGCTGAAAGGTTTCGGGATTTATGCAAATCTCAAACCCACGACGCTGAACCCAGAGCCCTATCCAACTTTGCAAGGTTTCGGTTCACCATCTTCATGGACTACACCCGAAATCCTTAGCCCAAAGCTCAACAAACCTTGCGAGGACCCTTTTACCATCCTAAACTCTGAACCCCATAAACCCTAACCCACCTTTTAAGGTCCCCATCACCATCTAAACTCTGAGACCCTTTCAAGGTCCCTTTCACTATCTTCATGGACTACTTCACCTTGATCTTCTGGACCCTTGACATGCTCATGTCGTCTGTGACCCTCGGATGCACTTTCGGGTGCCGGGGACTTGGTGTGTAGAGTTGCCTGCTACTAGGGTAGATCGCTTCCCCCTAATATTACAGCCCCCCTAACATAAATGCTCCCGACCCCCGGACTTTCGCGGTTTCGGGCCCGCAAAAGACAGCTACTCAAAACATTAGGGGGGGCCTGGAATTGTAGTAGCTTTAATAGAGCAAAGACCACAGCTGTACCAGTTAAAGCTTTAGGGCTTAGGGCTTTAGGGCTCAAAGTTTAGGGCTTGGGTCTTTAGGGTCCAGGGCTTAAGGTTTAGGGCTTAGGGCTTTAAGGCTTAGGGCTGTGGGGCTTCAGGGCTCAAGGCTTGGGATTGCAGCTGGGAGTCCGGGTTGTGTTAATATCAAGGGGGATCTTTTGTTTCGGAAATGAGGGTGAGGTTCTTTCTCGAGTATGGGCTAGGGTTTCGTTGGGGTTTAAAAGGTGTAGGGCTAGGATAACTAGCAAACACTGCCAATCCCACTCACACCCGGGACCCGGATGCCCCGAAACCCAGCCTAGTGTGAAAACTGACCCTCCGAAGTCCAGTTTTTCATGTTAGGGGGGGGGGGGGGCTTTACTGTAATATTAGGGGGAAGGGACTAGGCAACCTTCAACCTCGTCGGGATACTGCAATCTCGATATAACCCCAATGTACTCCCAAAGGTTAACCTTGAGTTACCCAGGATGCTCGACAAGTAGGCCTCCAAACTTGCGATGCCCCCGGTCATACGGTTGATGATATAAATCCTGCATGACCCATAATAAGGAATGTACCATAATTCTCATAGTTTAGGGTCCTTAAGGTAATGCAGGATTTCTTTCATCAACCGTAGGGATTCTTAGGAGAGTAGGGGGGAGGGGGGAGGGGGGGGTAGGGTCCTTATGATTCCAGTGGCTGAGAAGGCCCGGGGTTCAATCCCTTACAGAGCCCTTCTTCCCGAAACCCTAAACCCTAAACCCCAAACCCTAAACCCATAACTCTAAACCCTAAACCCCAAAAGCTAAACCCTGGTGGCGAACGGCATTGAGCCCCTAGACGCTAAACCCTAAACCCAAGGAGAAATTCTAAACCCTAAGCCCTGAACCCAAAAAAGAAATCCTAAGCCCTGCACCGATCCTAGCATGCAGAGAGGGACCGGGAAGGGCATTGGCCGCCGAGAGGTTTTTGGCGGTTGAGGCGTGGTGAAATGCAAGAGCTCAGGGTTCGGAATACCCAGACCTTCCAAAATCCCTTAATTAAGGAATATACCTTAAATTATAGTAAGGTCCCTAATATGCAAGGTATATTCCTTAATTAAGGGATTTTGGAAGGTCTGAGTAAATAGTACGAACTACAGTAGAAGCACAAAAGTTGGAAACCCAATAGCCTCAATCCTGAAGAGTAATGCAAAGGGAATCCCAGCACTATTTGTCCTGAATCCGGTTTCCAACCTTTTGGGGTTTGCCGTAATATTCTCTTATGGTCCGCTGATAGTTACAGGATAATTTACGCCCAAAACCCTATTCAGGTTGTTCAGGCCCGTATATTCAGTTGAAGGAGGGAGGCAGAATCGGCCGAAGCAGAATGAACCGCCAGCCCCGGAGCCACCGTCGAGGGAGAGCACAAGAAGAGCGACAATCTCAATGCCAAGATCTGTCTCGCATTTGCCAGTCCGAGAAAGAACAAGTGCATGGAGCAGACGGATTCCGCATTGTGGACGGGTGTGAGACGGATGACTACCACCTGGAGAGGACTACTGCTTGACGCCCGAAGAGCTCCCCCTTCGCCACCTTTCAGGAACAGGTCTAAAGTGGAGCGACCAGGGTTTCTGTACGCTTCAGGTTCTGCAGAGTTTGCGTAGGGTTTATAGAGCTACGGCTTAAGGTTGAAAGTTTCGGGTCTAGGGTTTTGGGTTTGGGATGCGGACCGACTCGGGAAAATAAAAAATGGCATCTCCTGGCAGCCTCCCTCAAGTGCTACTTGCTAGCAAATGTAGTATTTGTTTAGATGTAGGCAGGAGGTGCTGTTTGTATGTTTCAAGGCCCTGGGCAATATGGAGTCTTGAATATGTTGACGAGGGTTGCTTCCTTCTCCCATTCAGCCAGTGTTCAGTGATCGAGGTCCAAAGTCAGTACACCTGAAACAGGTGCAATCATGTTCCTTTGTCGTCGCTGCAGGTGTGTGAGATACGACGTCCCAACACCCCAGCACCCTACTTAGAGGATCATGGGACTTAGTAAGTAGGTTATAACTGGAGTTATAAGTCCCCTAAGTGGGGTTATCCTAATTACAACTTACTTATAACCTTACTTACTAAGTCCCATGAGCCTTCAAGTATGCTGACCGTTCAGACCCTGTAATGCCGAAATTAGACCCCAAGGCCTTATCCCAAGGCATCAAGAGAAGCTACATACGCCAGATAGACCCACGCAGTGCCAGGTAAGCCCTACCAAAAGCGGCGCAAGAGCCCTATAATATGAACTCCCTAAGCCGAAACCCTAAACCCTAATATAGGGGCTTGAATAATTAGAGTTTGGTTTTGGGGTATGCTATATTAAAGGTATGATAAGGAGGCCCCAAAATAGTATTGGTAAATATTGAGGCCCCCACAGTATCCCGTCCCAGGAGCGGTTTCTATATCCGGGGCGACCTCGAGATGAGCATGCGCAAGATCTGGGCCCGGATCCTACGGGCTTCGGGGGTTTAAGAAGGGCTTAGCCCTAAGGGTCCATGTGCCCAAACGGTTCATAACATGTATCCTTTAATCATATCAGGGATCCTGCTATAATTTCAGGTATCTTCCTCACTTAATGGATTGGAGTCCCTGGGTACTTTACACTGCTCCTAAGTTTGGCTGTGTATCAGGCTCTCGAGCTTCTGCATCTAAGGTCAGCCGAGTTTGACCCTTAAGCCCTGAGCTTGGGTTCTAGAGGTCATGCATTTGCTGGTTTTTAGGTTTTGTGATTTTGTTCTTCTTGCTGGCAACCAGCCTAAACTCTTCCAGATTCTTCAACATCCGTTTACGGGATGTGGCGTTTAGGGCGAGTGTGTCATTTTCTAAGTACCTCCAGAAGAGCGGGATCATTATTATTTGACTGTTTACGAAGACACCTGTAACATGATCGAATCTGATAAACTCCAAACCCCAAAGTCTTAGCAATTCCGAAGCCCTGAAACTTAAGCCGAAACCTTATATTTTAAAGTAGTAGAGTCATTAGAGTACCCCATGGGTCCACAGGACCCATTAATTAGGTGCTCTTTTTCAGGATTCGGATAGTAATTATGTAGGTAAGGACTTCAGAGAGTATCTGATGCTTCAGTACCTGGACCCTTAGGAGGAGGTTGTTTGTTTGACCATTTTGGGGTACGAGATTCCTGAGATCATCCTCAAGGTTGACCTTCAAGTCTCGCAGGATAACGAAATTGGGCAAGCAAGAAACGCTTCAGACGCGAAGCCGGAAAAAGCACAAACTCTGAAGCCCCTAAACCCCTAAACTTGGTTTAGGGTTCAGGGTTTAGGGCCCCTAAGCCCTGCATAAATCTACTGAGGTGCATTATTTGACGACGTGGTTCCTGGTCGACCTGATCGTGGTGGTACCTGCGCCTGGGCCGTCAATTTTCAGAGCCCTTCCCTTCTTAGTAAATTAATCTAGGGGGCCTTAGTAATTTGGGTGGTTGTCAAGCTCAGGATCCCTGTTTGGGTCCCTAATATAATACGGCACCTAATATTTAGGGTACCAAGAAAGGGACATAGTTTTGACAACTACCCATTTGGACGGGGTTTAGGATCGTGGCAGAGATGCTGTGCTGGAGGACCTCACTAACGACCAAGGTTTCCTCAGAGCCCTGGCACTTGTGCTTCGATTGAAGCCTTGGGGCCTGCTCTTGGCAGGCGTTCCATGCAACTCCTTGGCATTTGGGGGGTTCCGAAAATGGGGGACCCTAATATAGTACCCAAATAGTAGGATCCTTATTATAAGGACCCTTAAATAAGGTACCCCAAATTTTCTGAAACTCCCATTTATGTCTCAAGGAGGACAGAAAAGATGCCAGCAGGCCCCGATGAGTGCACCCCATGGCTTTGTGGTGCAGGGGAATATCTTGGCTGCACGGTCTGGGCACTGGAGAACCCGGCACGGTCATCTATCATATCATCTCTCCCATATGTTGAAAAATGCTGGCTTTCCCGTTGATTCGCCACACCTCCGTCTTTAGGTGGTCTACGGTCGAAGTCGAAGTGATGGTCTACCATTTCTTTCACGGAGCTGAGCCCCAAAACCATGATGAGGGGGCCAAGTTCCATACTGGTAGTATGTGGGTGTTTCTCAAAATTAGGGTCCCTTTTTGGGTCCCTATTATAAAATACGGCACCTATTATTTAGGGTACCCCAAAAAGGGGGCAATAATTTTGACAACTACCCATGTATGGAGCCCCTGGGTTAGCAAATTGAGGCGGCCTTAGCAAATAGACTCGGGGTCTCTTCCTTAGATCCCCAAGACCCAACCTTTAAACTTTTGGGGTTCTTATGGTTTAGTAGGAGCCGGAAAGTTTAACCTTTCATTTCTGTTGCTTATTGGGGAAGTAAGCTTCAGAAGGATCTTTAAGGGCTACTGGAGTTACGGGAAGGGCTTAGTGGCTTAGTATAGTGCCCTTCATCAGTGGCATATGGTGTTGGCTATACTGTGCTATAGCTACTGTATGTTGGGGACCTGTATCAAGGACCGGTGTCACTAATTCTTTCGAGCCTTCTCTTCTTTCAGCAACTCGGCGTTCGCAACGCATAGGGATAGTATGCCTTAGGAGCCCTGATATAATTTAATACAACGAAAATCCTGCATAATGAGCTCCCTTAAGAAACATACCTATATTCTTGTACAGGATAATGCTGTTATGTCGGGGCCGTAAAATCATTACCTGTATATATGGTGGTTTCTTATTATCCTTATAGTAAAGGGGTCCCCAAACCCTAGTCTAATCAAAAGGGCCCCTAAAGTAAGCCCCGAACCCTAAATCTTAGGGATGCATCCCTACATCCTACGGCGCAATGCCTAAACCCCACCCCCTAAACCCAAACGAGTGTCGATGGCCGTGACCGAAAACTTGTAGGGGTTCGGGTGAAAGATGCTTTAAGACTATTATTGGGTTTAGGGTTTAGGGTTGTGGCCGTCATAATTAGTTTCATTAGTTAGTGTTTCGGCTGCACGATATCTATATCTATGTGGGGGCTCTAAGGGGATATGATTACTAGTCCTTCGAACCTCGATGTTGCGGGTCGTAGCCCGGACAGCAGCCGCCGGAACTGAAGCCCCGAAGCCCCAAACGTCGTTCCTTGCAGCCATTGCCTTGGCTTTATCAGAGTTCAGGGTGGCATTTGCAGACAGAGTTTGGCGTTTTGGGGCACAATCCTACACCGGGGACTTGAGCATTTCCCAACAAAACCCTCGACCTAAGCACTAGAACCAATAAACCGCTCTGAAGTCCGAAGAGAAGGATTCCAACAGTATAGAGCCCACCGAGGCGCTACGAAAGCCTGCCAGTAGCCCCTTAAAGGAACCCTACACAGCTACATGGAGCCCTGTAGGCCCTAAATAGCTTTAAGCCCTTAGGCAACCGAATAAGTAGGGTTTAGTGTGCGGCCGAGTGTTTGACCGCAGGTTTAAGCACGACGTTGTGGGCTGTACTTGTAAAGGCGAGGCTCTAACGTTTCCGCTTGAGGTGACGCTGTTAGGTAGGGTCCGTTGTTTTGCGGATAATTTGTGTCAAAGTTTAGAAATTAATTGACTATAGGTGCTCCTGGTGCGCGATCCCCATGGAGCTCTGAACGACAGAGCCTTAAACCCTAAATCTTCGAATGTCTCTGAGCCCTAAACTCCAAGCCAAAAAACTCAGCAAATGCGAAGCTATCACGGCTGTCACTCATAGAAAGTTGCGAGTCGTACGAGGAATGGGAATGACATGTGCACTGTTCTTTGGTCAAGCACAGGAGTGTCGTTGGTATTTGTACTCCCGTTGCCGGCATTCTAGTCCGAGGCATCGCATGATTTGTTTAGGTGTAGGATCATGATGGTTCTCCCTGCCATTACCCATGTTCGCACATGTCTCTTCGTGAGCACTCTGCGGTCTTGTTGCGGCTATGTTGCGATCGCAGCCGCTCCTAGTGTCATGAAAAGCCCCAAGAACAGCGGTTGAGGGCCTCACAATGGCCGTATAGGATTTAGAGAGCTCCTGCAGCGTGGGGCTTCGGGGTACACGAGGTGCCTACACCGAACCGTCAAGAATGGCGCAGCAAACTCCAATCCACATGTTGCAAACTTAGCACGGTCATAGTCTGCATTGCAAACACAGTTTACACTATTACTGGCTGGTTGCATCAAGTATTGGGGAGGTAATTTGGGCCAAATTCGGGGAGCTATTGTGAAACTCATGATGAATTGTGTGCCCGCATGTTGTTTAGAAGTCCCGCAGCCCAAACCGCAAATTTTCAATATACTTCCCCCCAGGATACTGGACAAATAAGCCCTAAATACCCTAAAACCCTGAAGCCATAAACCCTTAACCCTAAACGACCACCTTGAAGTCTTAAACACGAAACCATAATATAGATCCCCTTAAAGGAGCCCTTATAGATCCCTTTAAAGGAACACTTATAGAGCCCTAAGCCCTAAGTTCACAAGCGTGATGATGAAATCCTGAAACTCCCAGCCTCAAGGACTGGATCACGACAATAACTTCATCGGGTGAAGACATGGCCCAGACTTCCCCTCAGCTATGGGGTTTAGGGCTTTAAGGTTCAGGATTCAGGGTTTAGCGTGTTAGGGTTTAGGGTTTAGGGCTTTAGGGTTTAGGGCTTTGGGGTTTAGGGTTTAGGGTTCAGGGCTTAGAGTTACGGTTCAGGGTTTACGGCTTAGGGTTTAGGTTTAGGGCTTAAGGTTTAAGGGAGCAGAAGTAAGGAGTCTACCCCGAGATAGGAGAGGGTCAGCAAGTAAACATCTTTCGGCCTCTCATTAAGGAACACCCCATACAGACAGGAAGGATCCTGTAATATCAGTTAAGGTGTATATCCTAGAGGCTCCAGATACAGTACCATTATGGAATTAGGTCCCAAAAACCCTGATAAGGATAGTCTTTTGGGGCCTAATTCCATAATGGTACTATATATGGAGCCTCTTGGTATGGCTCATGAAGGGTTGTTGGCTGGCTGGCAGGCTGGCTGGGCTTTGGCGCGCTTTGGGCTTCAGGTACCCAGAGACTCCAATACCCCTTAATTAGGGAATATTCCCTAAATCATATTAAGGATCCTACTATAATTTAAGGTATATTCCTTAATTAAGGGATATTGGAGTCTCTGGGTACTCTTAGGGTCTTAGGTGCCCGTGGTCTTGTGCTGAGGGTTAAGGTTGAATATAGAAGCGGAGCAATTAGCAGTACTGTTCCCTGCTAGTTGCGAGAGTCATGATAGGCCCCAGAACCCTGCAAACGCCCTAAACCCTAAACTCTAAACCCTAAACCCCATGTTCAGAGGGGCATACAAACTAGAGGATTTAGAGTTCAATTCGCACGGGCTTCGGGGGTCGGCTCGTAACGGTTTTCAGGTTCAGGGTTTAGGGCTCAGCGGGGTTCAGGGGCTCTGGAGGTGTTTTGGGCGTCTCTGAAGCAGAAGAAGGATTTAGTAAAAGGGCTTATGGGGTTTAGGGTCAGTCAGGGTGAAAGAGTGACCCCAACTGTAGCATCGACCCCGAATATTAAGCTAGACTTAGTAAGGTCCTTAATATAAGAACATCGGGCATTGTAATTCCAAGAAACCTGCTCCAAGAAGCGAAGAACCTGCTTTCATCAAGTTTTTCGATACGTCCCGTGATGAAGGAATCGATCTGCAGGTCCTTCCTTATCGGGAATCGATATGGGTGGTTGTCAAAATTGGGTTCCCGTTTTGGGTTCCTATTATAATACGGCACGTATTATTTAGGGTACCCAAAAAGGGACCATAATTTTGACAACCACCCATCTCATAGGGGCTTCTTCAAAGACTACATAAGATTTTCGGGTGCAGGGAACTCAGCAAGTATCGTTAGGATTACTTGAGTTGGGCTATAAGTAGGTATAAGTTACCACTGGCTTGCTTACTACCTTCCCTCTGGTCTTCTACGTAACCCTAAATCCTGAAGGCTGAATCCCAAACTCCTCGCCACGCTCTACCCTCATTCTAAACACCGGCTAAACTGAGCCCGACGCTAACCCCCAATCCCAGGAGGCAAAATCCAAAACTTGAAGGAACCACGACCTCTAAACGCAAACCGCACCGTCCCTTGAAACAAGACGCTGACGAAGACCCTAGAGCCTGAACCTTAAACCCCTAACCTAAACCCTTGATCCCTAAAGCCCTGAACCCTTGAACCCTAAACCGCTGGTGCCCGACACCCTTGAACCCTAAACCCCTAAACCCTAAAGCCCGAATCCCTTAAAACCCTAAACCCGAAACCCTAATATAGATCCCCTTAAAGGAGCCCTTATAGATCCCTTTAAAGCAACCTTTATAGAACCCTAAACCCTAAAGCCCGAATCCCTTAAACCTAAACCCTCCTTAGGAATCTAAAGATCTTCCGGGCCTTTCGGGCGCTTCGCATCCTGCGGCTGCTGCGTCTGTTCCATGGCCTCTATGGTTTAGGGTTTAGAGCTCCAGGGCCTGGAGCAGGGCCCTTTTTCTCCTGTTCGTGGTCTTAGGTGCCTTATCAAGGTGGCCAATACCACAAAGGGAGCCCTTTCTATTCCTAGGTTACTGGCCCAAAGGGTCCAAGTATCAGAAAGTATCATTATGGTACATACTTAGACCCCCAAAATACCCTTTGAGTATATACCATATTGATACTTGGACCCTTTGGGTGGCTAGGATGTCCAGTAGTACCCTTATTCCCTTTTTGTAGTCCTGGGTTCCTTGTGAAGTTACCCAATACCAAAAAGAGAGGCCTATTTATTCTTAGGTTACTGGGTATCCTAGATACCATATTGATACTTGAACCCTTTGGGTGGGATCCTAGTTGAGCAGCTGCGGCTTTCGAGTTTGAGGCAGGGCTTTAGAGCCCGTGAGGCTTCGGCAATCTGTGGTTTTACATGGAGAGAGAGTTTTTATATGTGTGTCTATCTTTAGACGGTTTGAAAAGGTGTGTGTGTGTATATATTAATATATATTTCACTATTCATAGATTACACAAAATTATCTACTATGTTCATACTCTTTTATATGTTCACATATGTATTCAAGCATGTAGAATTAAATAGTACTATATGGCTCCTGCTGATTCTAGAGGAATCGCCATGTTCTTTACCTGGTAGATATCTGACCCACTAGAGTCGTTTTCAGGCCTCCCGCCCTCACCCTACTGTTGATGGACAAAATCCTGCATGACCCTAAGGACTCGAAACTATGGGAACTATGGTATATACCTTATAAAGGGTAATGCAGGATTTTGTCCATCAACAGTAGTATTAAAATGGATTTCGGCCGCAATACTTAAGGCTGGGGATGGGTTCGATGCACCGCGCACTCCAAAAAGCAACCCTAGCACTAATACCTGGTGAAGTAGTACACCATCGAATCTAGTTGTTGAGTAGTTTTGGTAGCGATAGTCCAACTTCAAGTGAGTACGTTCAGAACCTGCCTTAGGCCCTGGACCCAGTTACCCTAAATCCCAAGCAAGCCCTACGACACCCTAAATGCTCAACTTCAGTGGCTTCACACCGTAAGCCTCCAATGCGGCCCTCAGTCCGCAACCGACAACTACCTATAGTCTCCATTGTAGTTCCTCTTGTTGGTTAACCAAAATCTCTATTATAGGGTCTTAACCATAAAACTGGCTAACCAAAAAATGAACTACAATGGAGACTACAGGTAGTTAAACAGTAATCGATCTCTTCGCTGTTTCGTCTGGCAGTACGGGTGCCGATTTATGACTGGTGATCGGACCATATTACTGCCAGATGTAGGGTCGACTACCAATTTCTGCTCCTCAGTAGTTTCGGAGGTACGTTTTTGTTGGGCAACATCTTGTTTCAGGGCACGTGGTGTGGGCTCTGTAGAGTCGATTCAGGGTGGTGTTGAGCAAGTTTCTGCTTCACGTGGTTCAGCTTGTTCTTTGTCATCTGTGGGTTTATGCGGGTATGGATCTTGAAGCAGCAGCTGATCTGTCGTATACATCATTCGCATCCTGTAGGGGGGGCTTGGGAGACCCTGATAGCTCTTGAAGGCCAGATCTCTGAGATTTAGGGTTGGTGGGCTTCGACTCGAGGTTACGAAGTTTCAATATTGAATTCAGGGATTGCTCTCCGTAGGGTCTAGGTCTCGGGGATGCAGATGCCGGGTTCAGCGCTTGTTCGGGGTTTGGTTTCGGGTCTACGTAAAGGGACCTCTGTTTAGAGAGCTACCCAGAGGAGGCCTTGGCCCCTAAGTAGAATACAGTAGAAGCCAGAAAGTTGGAACATAGTTGTCCTCATATCCTTAAGGTAAACTATAAGGGATCCTAGCACTAATCCTCCTAAAGCCATGTTCCAACTTTCTGGCTTCTACTATAGGCTTTTGGTGGGGCATATTATACTACAGTTATAATGAGGAACCACCAAAACAGTATAGGTAACTATGAAGGCCCCTAAAATACATCAAGGTCCTATGTGCATGCAAGCCCGCGAAAGAGACGAGACGGTCGCAGGTTGAAGCTCCAGCGCATCGTAAACATTGCCTACGACTTCATCAGCAGCCAAGGGCTTAGTGCTGTTGTTGTTTATGCCAGGATATGACCTTAATGCATTATAGGGGCCTGAAAAACTACCTCTACTGTTTTGGGCGGTTCCTTATTCTACATGTAGAATTTTATTCCCCCCAGAAGCCTATTCTAATTATTAAGGCCCCTAGGATGTCCCCTCACGGCAGCCTGGCCACCGCCAGTCATTTCTGAGCAGGTTCACTGTAGATTTACCCAAAGGCCCCATAGTTCTTCCTTTTTGGGGTTCGTATGTATAATCCTATCAGTTGATCCCAAAAAGGAACTACTATGGAGCCTATGGGTAATGTGTTTGCAGTCAGGTTGAGAACCTCGTGCCAGAACAATAAACAGATGTGTACGGAAGCTTTCGAGGGTCATGTATGTTTGGTGACTGCGGGAGGCATCACCACAAGTCTGCAAGAAGGCACTTAACCGTTTGGTGCAAGTGAGGGTGACGTGGCTAGAATCTGAAGCCGTCAATCGTGGCTCCTAAAGACATATCGTGACTCCTAAAGACACAGAACAAACCCTAAGCCCTAATCCATACAAGAACCAGGCTTGGGACCAGGAGAGCCCTAGACTCGACATTCTGTAGAGAAGATAGGAGAGTGCAGAAGCCCTAAAGAAATGCGAGCATTATGGTGAAAGGGCACATTAACCTTCTGAGTGCATGTGTCTGTGTCCTGTATATGTAGATGTATAGGGAGGGTACACAGTTGTTCGTGTGTTGCTACTTTCTGCTTGACAATGATGTACATGGACGTATGTATGTTTGTATCTATATATGTATGTCTGTCTGTATGTTTGTATGCATGCAGGTACTGCAATGCACTGCAATGCTGTGTAACGTACTGTAATGTGATGTAACAATGTATTGTTTCTGTGCACATGTGTGCATCTATGTATGCATATACATGTACATGATGTATGCATACATCTATATCTAATATATATATATATATATATACATGTATATATTTACACAGGCACATACACACATGCATTACACATTCAGGGCCCGCAGGCATCTTACTCGCGCCGTTAGATCTTAATCACACGCTTGAGCACAAATGGCTGTAACTCTTGACATTTGCATGAAGCTCTTGCTTGGGCTGCTCGGGTGTAGGACTTCCCTGCATGGCAGTTGGCAAAGCGACCGTTCCGAATGTGAAGTTCCCGTTGTCTGCCTATAGTCTTCATTATTGTTCCTTTGCGGGTTACCTTTTGTGACCCTGAGTACAAGAGTAGTTCAACCCAACAAGAACGGCAACGGATACTATAGCTAATTGGAAGGCGCGATTCTTAAATGGGAGTTTCCGAAAATTAGGGGACCCTAGTATAGTACTCTAAATAGTCGGGTGCTTATTTCTGAAAGAAGGTACCCCTAATTTTCGGAAACTCCAAAATCAGCTCAACGCACCTAAAGGCTGAGGACCGATTTTTCAGGCTCTAAGTCGAAGCGAATGTTGAACGAACACTGAAAAGCTTCCTTAGCCCTAAAGGCCCTAAGCTTTCAAGCCTCACACTGTAAAAAAAAAACCTAAAACCTTTAACCCCTAAACCCTGGCACCCTAAACCCTAAACCTCTAAACTTTTACGGCGTAAAAGCCTTTAAAAGCTTGATCCCTAAAAGAAGCCCTAACCCTGGAACCTTAAATCTTGAACCACCAAAGCATGCACGAGGCGAATATGCTTTCATTATGATTGGCATGCTCCGACTCGAACCCTGGCTTATAGCATCCCTTTGAGATTAAAGGGTTATGGGCCTTTGGGTTAGGGGTTTAGGGTTCAGGGATTGGAGTTGAGGGTTTAGGGTTAAGGGAAGGAACCTACTTGAGAATCCCTGGCTCCACACCCACGATGAGCTTACTGTAACAAGCGTCGTGCGAAACTGAGCTTTCTTGGTCAATCACTTGGTTGCAACTCCGAAGTTTGATACCCTTTTTCTTGAAGTCGTTGGTTTCGTGTGGCTTTACCAGTTTCTTAAGCAGTTTTGTCGGATGTTCACCATACATGCGAATGCGAGCTTCCCGCGAGGCCCTATGGAAGCATTTACTAAGGCTATCTCCACAAAGTCTCTGAACGAGCATAGACTGTGGTATTCCTCCCAAGACCATCTTTTAGTTGTTGATGCGCCGGTATTTACGTCTCGGATTTCGGTCAGGGCGGCTTTTAAATTTCTATCAACACAGCAAAGGAAGCAAGACCCATAGCAATCTAGGCCAGTCCCCAGGTGGTTTTCATCATTGTCCTGAACCACGTGATCGCTTGCTGCTGGTTCCTCACAGGGAAAATGTCTCACGACACAGGCGTGGCAGAGAATAGGAACCCTCATTCCTGCCTGGACTCTAGACCCCCCCAAAACCCTAAACCCTGAACGTCACAGCAGGAACGTCAGTTCGACTACAATGAGTCCCGAAGAGACCTTGGGTATGAGAAAACTGCCGAAGGTTTATCTTCGGTTTTGTTCGACCTATCTACCCTAATGTCTCCATTTGCTTAAATAGAGGGTTGCTAACTATGTGCATCTTCATATCGTTTAGAACCAAGTAATCCATTATTTAGGTAACCGGAGACCCAGGGTGCTACAAACGGCCGGCAGTCTCTTCTGGGCCGCTGAAGGAACTGTGCGGTCATACAGTGCCGAAGATGGTGCTGGCAACTTCTCAAAGGGGAAAAAGGAGGGACCCTTCAGGGGGACCCCTACCCTATAATGGGCTATAGAATGGGTATATAGTAGCTATATTAAGGGTATATACCTAGGGGTCCTCATAAAGGGTTCCTCCCTTTACCCTTGGAACTTCAGTTTGTAACCAGCCCTTAACAGGATCCGTAATCTACTTCCGAGTCGAAAGTGTATATAACATTTGATGGGGGAATGGGGAAGAATGTTTAAGACGGCTCGATTGGAAGCCCATAGTTGTTCTCGTTGAGTCTGTGCCTGAGGCTTTAGGTTAAAGTCTTAGAGGAGTTGGCTGCGTCTTGTTGTCACCAATGCACAACCCCCCTACCCCTTAAAGAAACAGAACACCGAGACTGGAAAGCTTCACTTTTTTCAAGGCTGCAAGCATGTTGGCTTGGAGGGTAGGTTGGGAGTAGTGTCATAAACCCCAAAAAGTTGGAAACCGGATTAAGGGCAATTAGTGCTGGGAGTCCCTATACATCACTCTTAAGGATTGAAGCTCTTGCGTTTCCAACTTTTGCGCTGCTACTGTAACCGTATGCCTCCAGGGACCTTATTTGGGGCTCCTTAAGGGGTCTAGGGCCCTAGCTATGAGGTCCCTGGAGGGATAGGGTAAGGGCTTGGAATTCAGATTCGGCTTGCGCAGGCCTGGAGCGCAGTTGGCTGACAGACACACCGAACGGCAATATGCTCGGCGAGGATAAGCTGCACCTCGGCAAGGGTCAGTTTTATGTTGGATACGAAACCGCGTAGCGACCAAACCGCTCCAGCTTCAAAACAGAGTGAGTTCGGTGTTTCAGACATTCCTGTTCACGGTTTGGGGCGTGTGTGGCACGGCGGTCAAGCGATTGATTCGAGAAGTATGCTTCTGTACTTCCGACTTCAGCTCTTGAAACAAAATGCGCCTGGGCTTGTGCCTAGAACCTCGTAAAATCCTTGCACCCTCAACCTTAGACACTAAAGTCTAAAGCACCCCCTTATGCCCCTAACCCTACTTTCTAGGTACAACGACGACATGCTCCGAGAAAGGGCATGTCCTTATGTCTTTCTTTTGTCCTGCGCCTGCATACTCAGAGGCTCTCTAAGAGGTGCTCGGATAAGGGGTGTGGGGTTCAAGGTTCTATTGTGGGTGTTCGTAGTGCAGTTGTCATTAGCTCCTGCAAAAGAAGCCCTAATTTCGGACACGTACACCAGGTAAATAGGATCCTTTGAGTTTCTCATCGAGGTTCGGAGTGTCCAAAATGCCCATCTTGATGAATCTACAGATTGGCTCCGGCCAATATTTCGCAACACTCCGTGAAGTCCCAGGTATTGGTATACCACCTCCCTGCACTGGAGCTTGACACAGCACCTGCCTTGAAAACTCTCTGGGTGTGGGGATGTTGGCATCGAGGTGGATTGGATTGGGTTTCGTGGGAGTCTTCGTTAGTCTCTGTATTTGTGTGCGTGTGTGTGTGTGCTTGTGAGGAATACTATCCAGGTACATAATACATGATCCTTGCAGAATTTGAGCTAAAGAATTCACACAAAACACTCTCCCTGTCATAATCATTCAGGGCCATATACGACCCTAAAAGAGTAGCTACGGACTCTTGAACCCCCTCGACGGTGGGTGTGTGTGTGTGTGTGTTTGTGTGTTTGTGTGTCTGTGTGTCTGTGTTTTGCAGGGGTCCAGTCCACAAGGGCTTTCTCAAGAATCTTGAAGGGTCGTGGGGTCCGGCCCTTGATTAAGGAATGTACCTTAGCCGTGTTAAAAGTGCCTCTATGATTTACAGCACAACTGACTCAGGGGCTTGCAAGTGTATGGGTAGGTAGCTGTCCCAAAAGAACCGTAGCTGCATCGAACTGGAGCTGCAGGGCTTCGCTTGGGTGCCATATAGGAGTTCCCGAAAATAGAGGACCCTCATACAGTACCCCAAATAGTAGGATCCTTATTTGAAGGGCCCGAAACAAGGTACCCCTAAGTTTGGGAAGCTCCCATATTATGGGAAGAAGATGAGACAGAGACACAGCGAGGTCCGGGTCCGAAATCCTAAACCAGGAATTTAAAAAAAGATGGGTCTGCATCTGTAGTAAAACCAAGCAACACCCCTTGAGGTTCTCGTGTTTTTCCATGATATACACCGAACCCATGTTCTCATTTTTTGCTAAGCCCCTATCCCCCGACACCCTAAACCCGAACCCCTAAACCCTAAACTCATCCGAACCCCGATTCTCAGTATCTAGGTTCCTGAGTAGTACCCGTTTGCACTTATTGTTTCATGGTCCCCCGACTAAAACCGAATAGTAGGAAGAAGGGTACCCTTATTCTAACCTCTATTCTAAAGGGGGCTTCTCTGCAACCTAGGTGTTCAGGGCCCCAGCATTCGTGGGCTTTGGATTGGGTGTGGGACTGGCCCAGGTTCACGCCGGCATCCATGGAAGTATCAGCGAGGAATGTTCCGGAGAGGGTGCGCGCAGTAGGGCTTGGGGTAGGGGGGTTCAGGGTTTACTCTTTAGTGTGATTCTTAGGGTCGTTTTCATGAGGCTACTTGAGGGCGTTTAGGATTTTGGGGCTTGGGTTTCGGGTTTAGAGTTTTTTGAGTTTAGGGTTAAGGGTTTAGGGTTTATTAAGGGTTTAGGCTTTAGAGTTTAGGGTTTAGGAATTAGGGGTTCCTCGAACCCCTGCAAGGTAACAGGGCTCCCCCGGGGTAAACCGAAGCCCAAAGCCCAGCAACAGCCGACCAGGCCAAGCAGTCCACTCAGTCCGGGTCAAGGGCTTATATACGGGGTCTGATTTTTCCTATTTAGAACAGGGTTTTGGGGCATCATTATGACAATTATAGTATAGTCTACCCCCCCAAACCCTATTCTAAGTATGAAGGCCCCTACATTAAGGGTTTAGGGGTTCTGATGGTTCGTATGTACCGCTGGACATCTGGACTACAAACAGCAGTCTTGGGACGACTAAGAAGGTTGGTTTCAGGGCTGGGACACGAGTCGCAATAAGCAAGTTCGTTTCCACGGTCTTAACAGGTCATACTTTCGTACGAGTCTTCCACGAAGCCCCGCTGGGCTCCTGCCTTTCGGCTTCAGTTTTATAAGTTTTGTAGAAGCAGTTCCGAGACTCAGCTAGTTTCCCAGAACGCATGATAGCGGTTGCTTCGGATACAACTCCCTGCCGAAGGTGTATAGCCTGAAACAAGTGGCCAGAGATCTCAGAGATCTGGATTGGATATCTCGCGGCTTCAAGATGGTGCATGTTGTAGCGGGCCGTGCTAGGGTTCTGTTTATCGCAGGGGGCCAATACAGAGCCGTGAAGACAGCATCCTCGCCTGAATGCTGAAACTAGGCGACCGTGATCGTAAAGCTATATATACTATATACTAACAACTCAAAACACCGGTGATTGGCATGCAAACATGCCGAAGCTGTTGCAAGGAGGGATCATACTGACTACACAGCTGATGTATGCAGTTGCCACGGTAGAGCGGAATGAATGAAGCCCGTTTAACCGGGACCCGAGCCTCTTATCCGTCGAAGACGTTCTGAAGTTCCTAAGCAGCTGTAATTGCCCATCTTTCTAAACTTATGAGTGCTCTTGGACCCAGAAGTTTGACAGTGGAGTCTGCACCAAATTTCTGGCAGATCCTCTCCATTGCGGTTCTCTTCTTCGCACTCATCACGTTTTCCTCCTTTGCCTGGCACCCGGGGGTTGGATTCGGAGGGAATTTGACATTCGAGGTCTCTAGTTGATACAGGATCTATAGAGCCCTAATTCCAAGACCTGTCATGACTCAGATGTTCTAGGGGCTCTCCCCAAGGGTCCAAGTACCCAATAATCATATACTCTCCGAAATAATGGTGATAATCCCTATTGAATAAGGGGCTAAAGAGCCAAGGGAGCCGCCAAAACCACTGGTTAGACTACTATCCTAAAGCCGAGTACCTACTTATTGGGTCCTTCGGACCCTTAAAGTAAAAGCCATAAAGTTGGAATATGATTATCCTAAACCCTTGATGGTAAATTATAAGGTATCCTACCCTGAAACCATATTCCAACTTTCTGGAGTTCGCTTTAGGGTTTCGTATAGGTAGATCATTCCTTGAGGGGGGCCTCTGCGGATGACAAGCAGCCCCTGGCCTTGATCCCGGGTGTTTCCAGTACCCTCAGTTTAGGGTTTAAGGCTTTAGAGTTTTAGGGTTTAAGGCTACTTCAAACCCAAAAGCTCTAAGCCCTTAAAGTTCAAGGGTTTAGAGTTTTGGGGTTTGAGGTTTTAGGGTTTGGGGTTTAGAGTATTGGGGTTTAGGGTTTAGGGTTTTGGTTTTTTTATTTTTGAGGTTTAGGGTTAAGGGTTAGGGGTTTAGGGTTTGGAGTTTAATAATTAGGGTTCCCTAAAATCTACACACACGGGTGCGCAGTTGCGTTGGTTGCAGCCTCACCTTTCTCTTTTCCGGATGCTGAAAGTTTGGACTCCGTTGTCCTTCTATGAAACCCGGAAAAACTCTTCGGAAAGCCCTTGTAAGCCTTGATAGAACCTCCTTATACAAGCCTGTATTCCAAGGCAGTTCAGGCATTGTCTACGTCCAGCCTTGCTTCTACAGGAGGATTTTCTTTGCGGTTGCATGTACAACACGCTGGGCAGAAAGACCCCTATAACAGAAGCCAAAAGGGACCCAATCAATCTTGAACCCTGCTGTGCATTTTCAATATGGAAGCTTGCATAGTTACTTCGTAGTACTCGTACTATTCCTTTAGCTTCCTCACTGTCATTGTGATTCTAAGCAGAGCATAGTTCCCTCCCAAAACTCAAAACCCCACGCCCTATTCTAATTATTTAGGACCCATATTGGCCTTGCATTCTTGTTGCGGATGAGTCCTACACACAAGTCCCCAACTCACTTCCTGATGTTGCAGTTTCTTGCCGGCAGCCCTATATACTATGCCCAACCAGCACAAGCCCGACTCGCATAAAGGGCCCTAAACCTCAACCCTGAAGCAGAACCACCTAGGTTGGCAGCATCACAACTTCCATGACTGCCCTTCGAAGCATGCAGCCAACTCAGTTGGTCACTGTCCGGGCATGCTTCATGATGTTTACCCAGAGAGCCCAATACCCCTTAATAAAGGAATATAGCTTTAATCACATTATGCGCCCCCTTATAATTTATGCTATATTCCTTAATTAAGGGGTACTGGGCTCTCTGGGTATAGGGTGTTCGGGTTCAGGAAACTCTGGCCACCCAACGTCGGATCCCGGACCAGCCGTGTTGAGGTTTACAGACTAGGGTGCTTTGAGATAGCTTTGAGATAGCTTTCAAGTCCTAGCTGATTGGGGCTCCGGCTTACGATACGGGAAAGCTTGACAACATGCCCTCCGCTCAAGATTTATGCAGCCGCCGATTATGAACCCTAAACCCGAAACCCTAAGCCGCAAGCCCACCTGACCGAAACGCCTGTCTTTCACCCCCGTTAACCTGAACTCACCTGGGCTTTCCATTCCAGAATCCTTGTAGCGGATTATAGCGTGATCGCAAATACCACGCGCAACCTACCTCTTTAGGCGTGCGGACACGAAGAAGCAGTTTTGGATGCTCCGGCGCTTCTTGGCCAGGTCTTGGCCAGGATCACTTTAAGACAACACCCGGAGTCCTGCACCTTTTAGCCAAAGCCCAACAAAGCGGTAACACCAGAGATACATAATGTAGGAACCTGATTAAGAAACCCTGGGCCTCTAACCCCAAAACAGCAAGATAAATATCAGGAACCCAAATAAAGGCCCAAGGTTTCTTAATCAGGTTCCTACATTTCCCAACTTCTGCTTGCGGACCTTCGGTCGATGATATAAATCCTGCATTACCCATAATGAGGAATCTTTCATAATTCCCATAGTTTAGGGTCCTTAAGGTAATGCAGGATGTATATCATCAACCGTTACACCAGTCCCAGCGCCCTTCAAGGATGGGCGAAGGGGCTTTAGTTTACAGGTTTGGGTTCCCCCCACGGTTCTTTTTTTCGTGGGTTTAGGGTTTAGGGGTTTAGGGTTTAGGGGTGTAGGGTTTAGCGTTTAGGGTCGGGTCCCTGACAGCTCAAGATCTGCAGTCTTAAACACCGGAGCCTCAAATTCCAGAAGACATGAAAACTCAAACTCAAACTGCAACCCTCAACCCCCAAAAGGCACATGTACCCCAGAACGCACAGCCCCAAGGTGTTAGTTGGAGAAGTAGACTCCTGAAGCCCAAATTATAGTGTTTCGGCATTCCGATTCAGGAGTTGGGTTCAGGTGCCAGCGTTGACGAAATCCGAATGATTGTAGAAAGGCCTTCCAGCCGATGATTTGCAAGTTCCCATGGACGAAGACCCTGGATTCTGCTATCTAAGGTTACCTGAACTCCAAGAAGATTTCGCGCCTTGCCTGTTGAACTTGCCTTCGATGTGTCAGGGTGACCCTATCCCTCCAGGACCTCATAGTTAGGGCCCTAGACCCCTTAAGGACCCCATAATAAGGTCCGTGATTTTCAAGGAAAAAAGAGTTTGGGTTGGGGTTTACTTACCTTTGGTTAGTAGGGAATGGAAGAATGGTAGTAATAGTAGTTATAATTGTACCCCATTCATCAATTCCCTACTAAGCAAGGGTAAGTTTAGAGATTTGCTGGTTTTGGTTTTGGATTGAAGCCCAGGGGTTTACGAATCAGGGTAACTAGGGTTTTAAGCCTACTATAGACATATATATATATATATATATATATATGTACATACACATGTATATACACTCCCAAACCCTATGTATTCCGGCAAAGATCAGCACCGACACCTAACACTGCCACGACTGCAGCCAGTCACCAGCCAGGGCCAGGATGTTAACAGCAGTCGAGCGGACGTGTAATGCCGAGAGCACAGCCACAAAGAACTAACTCTTCATATCAACGACTGAGGGAATAGTGGTAGCATGAAGCCTGATATTCATAGCATCTTTCTTTAAACCCCTGAGCCCTCAACTCTAAACCCCTAAACCCCTAAACCCTAAACCCCTAAACCCCAGGTGTCGTCCCCTGCGCACGTACTAGCAATGTGATTGCTTCAGGCTCAGGTGATCTTCGCCCTTTCCAGGGAAGCTCTAAAGGGATCCCCATTATGTTTATAGGGATCCTATTATGTTCAGTGGGATGTGAACCCCTACTAAACCCTCAACCCTAAACCCCTCAACCCTAAACCCCTAATCCCTAAACCCCTAAACCCCTATAAGCGCCCTTCTAAAGCCCTAAACCCTATAGCCCTATACCCCTAATCCCTAAACCCCTATAAGCGCCCTTCTAAACCCCTAAACCCTATAGCCCTATACCCTAAACCCCTAAACCCCTGAACCCTAAACCCCCAAACCCCTAAACCCCTATACCCTAAACCCCTAAACCCCCTAAACCGCTAAACCCTAACCCCCCTAAACCCCTAGAAGCGGCTTCAGGTATGCTACACGTTCGAGAATCATCAAGTTCCTGGAGTTCCAGTCAGCGAAGAGACAGGCCGAAGTCAGCGACCGGACCGCAACTTAGGGATGTTGAAGGTTGTTTAGGGTTTAGTAGTGCTTTTATTTAAGGTTTCTAAAGGTTTCTTTAGTGCTTTTATAGCGCTTTAGTAGGGGGTTTAGTAGGGGTTTAGTAGGGGTTCAGTAGGGGTTTTGGGGTTTTAGGCTGCGGTTTCGGAGGGTTTAGGGTAGGGCGGCAGGCTGCTGATCAGGACCTCAGTGTCAGCGGGCAGTACTGGGGAACATGTTGCTGATAGGCTTGATGTGATGTTCAGGAAGTAGAATTCCATCTCTCCAACAGTAAACCCTTTCAACTCCGTCACGGACTACAGGATCGACATTATAGTAGTGGTCTGGAATGTTTGCTAGCAGCATTCCTTAATAAGCCCTGTTCTGGAACTGCACGTCTATACTCCGAAACGCTGCTCTCATTGTTAAGGAATCCTCATAGCAACCCAATCCCGAGACCAGAACCCGCGAGAACAGAGTCGCCATACAGCATAATTAGTCTAGGTAGGGCTTTGGGGCATTTTATATTTTCCCTTATTGGTGTTAAGAGGATCTTATTTACTAATATTTTTCAAAGGCTTTAAAAGCCCCACCTAGTAGTCTAGTATAGTCTACTCTGGTGTAATGCAGCTGCAAACGAGAAGAAATAGGGCCCCTGGGGTTTAGGGTTCAGGGTTTAGAGGGTTTAGGGTTCAGGGTTTAGGATGGAAGCCAACTCCCACAAAACTGATAATTTTTCCTAGACCCTCAACCCTAAACCCTAAAACCCTAAACCCTTAACCCTAAACCCTAAACTCCCACAAAACTGATCATTTACCCTAGACCCCACAAATCTTTCTTCAGTATCAGGTCAAGAGAGCATCGAGCAGCTCGGCCACAGGGTTAGAGTGAGTTGCGGGCGTCGGGAAGCAGTCAGGGTTTAGGGTGCGGGGTTTTTAGGGTTTAGGGTTTAGGGTGCGGGGTTAGTAGGTAGTTTGGGTTTGGAGTTTAGGGGTTAGGGTTCAGGGTTTCGGGGCTAGCAGTTAGTTAGGGTTTGGGATGTCGGAGTTAGCAGTCAAGGCTTAGGGTTTTGCGGGTTCCTTTTGGGGTGCCTTTGCGTGGGGGTCTAGACCCTGCACCTGCAGGCTTTGAGCCTTTGAGCTGTCACAGGGACTGGCAAAGATCTCATACCCTACAGCCTTGATCCCTGAGTTCTCATCCCTGCTGCGAACTACCAAAACCTAGGTTTGTTGTTGGTTCTGCACCCTGATATAGAATTTATAGGGGCCCCACAAAGAAGGTAGATTTTTGGTGGGCTAAGGTCTAAGGTTTACCCGAAACCCTTAAGCACCCTCAAGCCCTGAACTATGCCCTGCCAATATCCCTCAACTCCAAGCCCTATCTCTTTGTCTGTCTCTCTCTCTCTCTCTCTCTCTCTCTCTCTCTCTCTCTCTCTCTCTCTCTCTCTCTCTCTCTCTCTCTCTCTCTCTCTCTCTCTCTCTCTCCTCTCTCTCTCTCTCTCTCCTCTCTCTCTCTCTCTCTCTCTCTCTCTCTCTCTCTCTCTCTCTCTCTCTCTCTCTCTCTCTCTCTCTCTCTCTCTCTCTCTCTCTCTCTCTCTCTCTCTATATATGTATGGATAAAAAGGTGTGTGTGTATATATATATATATATGGATATATATATATATATAAATAAACCCGAAGCCCTAAACTCTAAACCCGAAGCTAAGCCCCTCCCCAGGATCCTGGACATGTTGTCCGTCCCCTTGCAGAACCTGCTCCAGTACGAGCTGCGGAAGCAGTACATGGAGGTGGGAGAGCCGGGCGCGTAGTGAGGGTCTAGGGTGTAGGGGTTTAAAGTTTAGGGTGTAAAGTTTAGGGCTTAGGATTAAGGGTTAACGGTTAAGGGTTAACGGTTAAGGGGTTTAGCGTGAAGGGTCTGGGGCGGTGGAGCCCTTAACATCCCTTTGATAGCCGCATAAAAGCCTGACAGAGCCAATAGAGAACAACCAAGCAACATCGACAAATAAGCACCCGATAGCGCCCTTAGTCCAACAACCCTTTTGAGGGTTGCAGCCATGTTGCGTGTGCGCATGCAAGTGTCATCATGCATGTATATGACACATATTATGATTATCTCCAAATGCATGTGTCTGTTGTGTGTATACACTCCTTGTCATGATGTTCTTGTCAGCAGCTGGTGATGACTGTCAGCCATTACCTAAACCGTTACACCCATACCCCTACACCCTAAACCGTGCACGGCGTTCTTCCTAAGTGGCAGGCTCATCCTTTCTTCGCCTACCTTCAGGCAGGATGGGGTATCTGTGAGGTTCTTTGTTCGGATTTGGGATCCCTTATGTAAAGGTCCTAATAATCATTAACGATCCTAGTTTTGGGGTGTTCGTAGAGTTCCCATTTTTGCCGTGACATTCAGCAGCCGCGTGCAGAAAGTTGTGTAGCCAGGGCTAGATCTGACAACCAGACTCAGCCGCTGACTGCAGCAGGCACCTGCTTGATATAGGGGCCAAAATTATGAGTGACTTAGAACCTAAACTCCTCAAGCCCTAAGCCCCAAAAGCCTTCAACCCTGTATCACACACACCCTTAAACCTTTATTTCACCTCTATACTGGAGTCCTGAAAAGAATCCGGGAGGAGCCTTTCTCAGACCACGCCACAACACCCTGAATCCCCGGAGTCAGCACGGGAAACCCTACAGTGCCCTACAGGGCCTGCCCTACTAAGCCCCCTCTATGCAACAAGACAACCGTTGCAAAAGCAGAAACCCTTTCAGAACCCTGTTAGAACTCCCTGACACGAGTCCATGTTGTCCACACCCTAAACCCTAAACCTTTAAGCCCTACACCCTAAACCCCAAGCCCCTCAACCCCTGAACCATCCTAACCCCCTAAACGTCCCAAACCCCAAGCCCTGGCCCTCCAAGGACCTCATAGTTAGGGCCCTAGACCCCTTAAGGACCCCAGAATAAGGTCCCTGAAGGCATAGGGCTAACCCTAAACCCTAAATCCCTAAATCCAAAACCTCAAACCCTGAACCCTAAACGCTTAAACCCTAAACCTTGAACCCTAAACCCTAAACCCAAACCAAAAAAACCCTAGGAGGTTTTTGGATCCCCAGGTAAACCCTAAACCCTGAGCCATGGCCAGGAACATATGCGTCCGGTGATGATTCGACTCTGTTCTCGGGCCACTTGGAGTGAACGTTCGGCTCGGTTGGTTTTCAGGGGGCCCTAGAGACTCCAATATCCCTTAATTAAGGAATATACCTTAGATTATAGTAGCATCCCGTATATGATTTAAGGTACATTCCTTGTATAAGGGATATTGGAGTTTTTAGGGGCTCCTTTAAGGGTCGTAGAGGGTTTCGGCTTCCTTTAAGGGTCGTAGAGGGTTTAGGCTTCCTTTAACGGTCGTAGAGGGTTTAGCCTTCCTTTAAGGGTCGTAAAGGGTTGAGAGGTTTAGGTTCAAAGAAAGTTTTTCGAGGGTTTGGGTCAGGGGTTTGGGGTTTGAGGGTTCTCTTGAAGACTTTGAGGCCTATAGTCCATAGGGTGTTTTTGTTGGGTTTTGAAGGGTTGGCTCTTGCACTGCTGCTGGCTCATTTTTGTCATTCTGCTGTTACCTTGTGTTTCATTCTTCCTCTCATCGTTGTCCTGCTGATTGGCTACATTGCTTTTCGGCGAGGCAGCTTTCTTCATGGGCCCGTACTGCTGGTAAGGCTTGAGTAGAACCTTGAAAAGAGCCGGGCCCAACTACACCCTAAACCCTTTCAAAGCCTAGAAAAACCCGAAGCCCTAAGCCCCAAGGCCTCCACCCCGGAACCAAACATAAACAAAGCCTGAACCCCAAAGCCTAAACCCAAACCCCGAATCCCAAAGTAAAGCCAAAACTGCGAAATCCCTAAACCCCAAACCCTGATCCTCACAGCTGAGCGTGAAAGGTGCTGAAGTTCGTGCCATTTGCTCCCGAGGAGATGGAGTTTAAAAAATAACGGGGTTGGGCATTTAGAGGGTTGAGGGGTTAAGGGTTTCGGGGTCGAGGGTTTAGGGTTAAGGGGTTTGGGCGGGCTCTTAGAGGGTTGAGGGGATTTAGGGGTTCAGACGTCGTAGGGTTTAAGCTTTCGAGTTGGGGACTTCTCGGGGTCAGGTTCCCGGTTTTGCTTCCAGAGGTTTCGAAGGACTCCATTGTGGACAAGCTTCTTCTTGATATGAAGGTGCCGCATATTCTGAGCAGAGAGGCTCGGAAATTGTTGTTGTGGGCGGCTGAGGAATACATGGCTGGGTTTTCCTCCGAGCTGACCATCTGGCAAGGCACCGACGACGGAAACAGCCCGACAAGCAAGACATCCGCCTAGCCGAAGCTTTGGCCAACCAGCGCACGCAGGCAGAGCTGTTGAGAAGCAAGCAAGAGCAGGCTCGTCAGGAGGAGGCTGAAGAGGAGGAAACGTTGAAGCAGGAGCTGCCGGTTTTTCCGTGTCTGCGCCGCTGTTTTTCCAGTCGAGTTTTGTCTTTAGGGTGCTAGGTTTGGTTTCTTGAGCGGGGGGTCGGGTGTTCAAGTTTTGAAGTTGTTTTTTTTGTGGGGGGTGGTGGTTTGGGGTTTCCGGCAGCTGTATAAGCATGGGGTTTAGGACGACTGTTGGGATGTTGGCTCTTCCTTCGGGATTGGGGTCCGTCCGGGTTTAAGGGCTTTCAGATTTGCGATGTACGGGTTCAGGTCTTTGGGTTTTGGTTAGAAGCTGCCCCCACCCTGTAATAGTGACTATAAGGATTGTATTAGTGCCCTATTATATTCCTATTATACCACTATTACAGGGTGGGGGCCCCTTCTACGGTTTTGGTGTTTACACGGCATCCTGTTGTTTCGTTCGTTTCTGAACCTGGGGCATGAAGGACCATAGGTACTTCTTGGGTACGGCCCCCCACTCAGTAATAGTTGAATAATATTCATCTTAGTAGCTGAGTAGGTAACCTTTAACCTTTTTGGGGTTTATAGAATCCTACTATAACTCAAAAGGTTAACCTTTTTTGGGCTAGTGTACTCGGCCCCTAAGTCATAATATAGATTAATATTAGGACCTTAATAGTAGCCCTATTATAGACTCTTACTGTATGGGGGCAGTACCTAAGGTACTTCCAAGTAGGGTGGTTGGTAAGATTCGGACAGGTAACTTATGCAACCTGGTTTCTCATAATGTTACACCCCAGTGCTCGAGCAACCTACAACTACTTAAAGGATCATGGGACTTAGTAACTAGGGTTATAATTCGGGTAACTATACTTATAACCCCAATTAGGGTACTTATAACCTTACTTACTAAGTCCCATGATCCTCCAAGTAGGTAGCCCTTACAAAGGAACCCTACAGCCCTTAAAGGAACCCTAGGCACTGTATGGACCCCTTTAAATCCTCCAAGTATAGCATTCCCCGTAGGAATCTTTGAGCCCCAACCTGGCTTTGTTTACGCACTTGTCTTGCTTGTAAGCGTTGCGCTGCGGGGTACCCAGAGAGCCCAATACCCCTTAATTAAGGAATATGGCTTAAATTATATAGGGCTTCATATTATGATTTAAGCTATATTCCTTTTTTAAGGGGTATTGGGCTCTCTGGGTACAAACTTTCGGTTCCGGAGAGGGAATAGGATGCTTTCGGATTTGTTCTTTCGGACGTGACTTTGCCGACAGCTTGAAACATGAAGCCTGCATGATACGTGCCAAAGAAACCAGACATCTGAAGAGTGTCGCATTTCCGTCAAAGCCAGCGATCTGGAAAGTTCTACTACAACTACGGCTTAACGTCGAAGACCTACGTAAATCATGTACACTGTACACTGACAGGTATGTGTGCCTTGGGCTGTAACGGATTGCTCAAGCATGTAGAGATGACAAGCGCAGTTCAACACAGCTGCCGAGACTGCCAGGATGTGGTCTTCCGTTCCGGGGAAGAGTCCACAGCCATGCCACACCCCCATTTCCCTGGGAGTTTCCGAAAGTTAGGGGTACCTCACTTTGGGGTCCTTATAATAAGGATCCTACTATTTAGGGTACTATATTAGGGTCCTCTATTTTCGGAAACTCCCCCTTATCTTGGGGGTCCGACTTCCAACCTAGGTATTGATTGTTGGACTTGGGGCCCGTACTTGGAGGATCATGGGACTTAGTAAGTAAGGTTATAAGTACCCTGACTGGGGTTGTAAGTATAGTTATCCTAATTATAACCCTAGTTACTAAGTCCCATGATCCTCTAAGCAAGTATAGAGGTGCTATCGTTTTGAGCTTCATACCATCACGTCTTGCGGACTTTGGCCATTCTCCGGCTGAAAGGTTCAGGTTTTCACTGGATGTGGAGAGATGTTAAGGGATGCTTAGGGCTTAGATCTTGGAGTTTAGGGTTTAGGCATTCGGGTTTCGGGTTCTGTTCACGGATACAACGAAGCAACAGACTTTGCTGCATCAAGTGTCCGCCTAACTTTAAATTTCGGCTGAAGCCAGCAATCAGTGAAGCCGAAAGTTGTGCATGCAAACGCCAGGACTGTGCAAGTTGGGAACGCACCCTCGCTTCAATGAATCCTTTGAAATGAATGTATGTATTTCCCTAAACATGAACTGCCATTATGGGCCGTCAACCTTCAGGTACAAAGGGATCACGGAAAACAAACTGACTCTCCAGCTGTTTGGGGGGCTTTTCCGGGCTTATTGGAATTAGCCGGTTTCGCTGCTGAGGGGGCTCGAAGGGTTTTGGGAGTGGGAGTGAACAGAAGGAGCGAGTAAGGAAAGAAAGCGATCTACCAATGGTTGCATTAAATGCATACCCCAGCTGCAGGGGCACCGTACATGTAGGAATACTATATTGCTAGATGTAGACAAAGATATAGATAGATAGATAGATACAGAGACACCTAGATGGATAGATAGATCAATGGGACTTGTAGCCTCCTTCAGCCCGAAGACCGCCTTTTGGAGCCTCCTTGAGGATAGGGACCTAAGTAAGTACCTATACTATTTTGGAGGTTCCTTATATTATGATTATAGAAAAATGGGCCCCAAAACCCTATCCTAACTATTAAGGCCCCTATATTAAGCCCTACGGGTGGCTTTGGGCTGAGGTACGTCGTGCAGTCGGGAGACGTGGAGTACCATGCCAAGACTGGGTCTGGAAGAGAACCCAAAAGGCAAGGTACCCCAGCACTAATATAGGGCCTAAATAATTACAAATACTGGGGTTCCTTAGTATAGCCATGCTATAATAGGCCCCAAAACCCTATTCTAATTATTAAGGCCCCCAAATTACCCCTTCTAAGCTCCTCTTTTAGGATTCCTGTAAAGCCTTTAAGGAAGGAACCCTCTATGCTTTTTGTTTACGGATTCCCTTGAGGGATCTCTAAGGGATCGAGGCTTCATTGACTTTGGGAAAGAGCCCATTGAGGCGGAGAGGTGGAGTTCTGGGGCTTTCGGAGGGCTTTTGGTAGCACTGCGGCCTGAACATCACAAGCCATAGCCTAAACCCCAAAACGACTCTACCCTAATACCCCTAGCCTGGCCTTTCAACCTTACAATTCGAGATCAGAAATCACAACCCCACAACTGTGAAGCGTCCCATGTACTGCAACGCCATAGCTTGGACCATGGCGAACTGCGGCAAGTCATCCAAACCTCCAGACCCAAAGTAATCCAAACCTCCAAGCCCAAAGCCTATGACCTAGTACGTGGCTTACGAGCCCCGGATCGCAGGGCTTTAAAGCTGCAGCTGGCAGGAGATTACCGCTGAATCATGCGATCGTCAAGATAGTAGGTCTTGCAAACCCTATATTCCCCAAAACTCCAAAGCCCTAATCGCCAGAGCCCTTATCCGCAGACCCCCAACCCTCCAGTACCTCAGCCCTAAACCCCTAAACCCCTATAAACCGAAATTTTCTAAACCCTGGACAGGCCGCAGGCTCCCTGCGAAAAGCACGGAATTCGCAGTTGAAGTAACGGTAGCATTTGTTGGACCCACCTTCAAGTTCCAAGTCTGCTTAACGTAGAAGCCTGAAGAAAGGCGTAGTCGCTGAGTAGGTACCCTATGCCTCCAGAGACCTTATTACGGGGCCCTAGGGCCCTATCTATGAGGTCCCTGGAGGGATAGGGGTAACCTTTAACTAAAGTTTGGGGAGAAAAAATCGGACCATAGTTGAAAACGTTTAACCTTTTTTTGGGCTAGGGTACTCGGCCCCTAAGATGGAGAGTGCTCTACCGTACGGTTCCTTGGACAATTACGCAGGACAATCCGCACCAACACCCGATTGAAACTATTAAGGCCATTACATTCGGGGAGGGTCTAGAGTTTAGGGCTGACGGGACAGGTCTTAAAGGTCTGAGGCTCTGACACAGTATGAAGAGCGCCTTGCAGTAGTTTCTTCCCTTAGATCACGGACTTCAACACGCAAACACATATGTACGCACGCAGAAGAGATTGTCAGCATGAGCAAAAGTAATGTACACACCCCCATGTATGCATGATTTCTATGATGTGCACATCGGTACCCATGAACATCTGACAACACATTGTGGAACAGAGTTAAAAGAAACAGAGTGAGACAGGCAGGCTCCATATATTATCATTTTCTTTGGAAGAACTCCATACTCAAGACTGTCTGGTTCTTAGTTCTTAGTATAGGAAAGGGGGGATGGATTAAAGATACTATTATCGGGGATTATGTAGGGACTACCATAGGGATCCCTTCCCCCATTCCCTACTAAGCACCAGACACAATACTGCTGTGGAAGAATGGTGGTATACGTGGAGCTTCTGGGTCATACTTAGATTATAAAGGAGTTTAAAGCCCTGTTCTAATTGTTAAGGCGCCTACACAGGTAGTATTATTCATGTCTATATGTTTGGATACATGGACCCTTGATAGGGGCGAAGCGAGACCCCCCCCAAAAAAAAAAAAAAAAACTAAACCCCTAAACCCCTGAACCCCCAAAACCCTTAAACCCCTAAACCCCTAAACCCTAAGCCCCTAAATCCCCTAACCCCTAAACCTTAAACCCCTAACTCCTCAACCCCTAAACCCTAACCCCTAAACCCCAAACCCTTAAACCCCTAAACCCCCAAACCCCAAACCCCTGAACCCCTAAACCGCCAAACCCCCAAACCCCGAAACCCCTAAACCCCTTATCCCTAAGCCCTATAGTGAACCCTAAACTCCTAAACCCCTAAACCCCCAAACCCCAAACCCCTGAACCCCGAAACCCCTAAACCCCTTATCCCTAAGCCCTATAGTGAACCCTAAACTCCTAAACCCCTAAACCCCCCAAACCCCTGAGAGACAGGACCCTAATCCTACAGTGAACCCTAATCCCTAAACCCCTAAACACCCAAACCCCTAAACCCCCAAACTCCCAAACCCCCAAACCCTTAAACCCCCAAACCCCTAAACCCCTAGGTCACTAAACCCTAATCCCTAAGCCCTGCAGTGAACCCTAACCCCTAAACCCTAAACCCCAAACCCTTTAACCCCAAACCCCCAAAACCCCTAAACCGACAGGCTCGAAGTGGGCAGCAACGGTTGGATTGCGGAGGCCTCTCTCTGGACCATGTGGCCGAAGCCTCGGAAGAGTGGTGCCTGGAGTTCCTTTAAAGGGGTCCATACGATGCCTAGGGTTCCTTTAAGGGCTATAGGGTTCCTTTGTAAGGGCTACCTACTTGGAGGATCATGGGACTTAGTAAGTAGGGTTATAAGTACCCTAACTGGGGTTATAAGTATAGTTATCCTAATTATGACCCTAGTATCCTTTGAGTAGGGTTCCTTTAAAGGGGTCCACAAGGGTTTCTTTAGAGGGATCTATAAGGGTGGCCGAAGCCTCGGAAGAGTTGTGCCCAAAGACTCCAATATAACTTATTTCGCGGAATGTTCTTTAAATCATAGTTGGGTTCCTACTATACGTTAAGGTAGAAGTCTCGGAAGAGTTGTTCAGGTTTTAGGGTTTAGGGCCTAGGGTTTAGGGTTTAGGATTAAAGGTGTAGGGTCTAGAGTTTAGGTTTTAGGGTTTAGGGTCCAGGGTTTAGGGTTTAGGTTTTAGGCTTTACGGCCTAGGGTTTAGGGTTTCGTGGCCGAAGCTTCGGACGAGTGTTGTGTGTGTGTGTGTGCGTACAGGTTTTAGGGTTTAGGGTTCAGGTTTTCGGGTTTGGGGTTTAGGTTTTAGGGTTTCCGGTTTAGGGTTCAGGTTTTAGGGTTTCCGGTTTAGGGTTCAGGTTTTAGGGTTTACGGTTTAGGGTTCAGGTTTTCGGGCCTAGGGTTTGGGTTTAGGGTTTTGGGATTATGATTAGTTTGGTGTTGAGGGGCCCAAATCTGAAAGCCCCAATGCTGGACGGTCAGTCTTAATCCCGAGTGAGGGCGCCGTATGGAAGCCTGCTTCAATTAGTGACACCAAAAGCACATAAGCATAAGCATTTCATGGGGATATCCCTACCTCATTGGGCTTCCTTTTAAGGGGGGTCATATGGGATATCCCTATCTTTGTTTTTGCTTGTGTGGTTTTTCGGGGCCCTATCGAACTCTTGAGAACCCCCTCCGCTACATTTCACCATAATGGAGTGAGGCCCCAACAGACCATCCTTTTCATGGTTTTCGGGATCTGTTTCCATGTTTGTAGTATTTATCGCAAAGGGTCCAAGTAATAAACTCGTATATACTTTGGGTCTCAAATATAGCTACAAAGCACCTACTTTATTGGTACTTGGACCCTTTGGGATCCTTGAATCCCTTCGGGTATGGAGCATCTTAGTGCTGGACATCCGACGCAGCTGAGTATTGGAAACTTGCCTGCTCGGCAGGAGTGCTTCGGACCTTTGTCCTGATCCGATGTTCAGGGTCTAGGGTTTAGGGTTCAGGATTTTGGGTTTAGGGACGCTCCCACACACTGCGGCCACAACAAGCCCAAATCAAGCAGCAACGGCAAAGCTGCAAGCCCAAACAACCTGAAAGCAAGAAAGCCATTACAGTGCCATATGGAAGCCCGTTGGAAAAGCTTCTTCAGCTGTAAGCAAAAAGCAGAAGAAACAGTAAACCCGAAAAGCCCCAAGAGCCCCGAACGCCCGGACAGCGGATTGAACTTGTTCAGGGACCTGTCGTCGTGTACACTGGAGCCCCACCCTCAAAGAAGAAACAAAAACACCTAACCTAACCAACCAGAATTGGGAATATTCCTTAAGGGATATTGGAGTCTTTGGGTACCCTAAAGCCCTACACCCTATAACTAAGCTAATTACACCCGACACCTCCAACCTCCAACATCCTCAACACCGGTTACCGTCGAGTCAGTGGTAGCCGCTGCCCTTCATGGCGCCAAAGCTAGGATTTCTGGCCATGGTGAACAGATCGCCCCAGTTGGCGGTGAAATCCGCTCTGTCCGGGAGGACACGGGGCAAGTGCGGACTGAATCCCCACAGCAGTGGCCTTAAGGACGACATGAGCCCTAAACGGGTTTAAGGTTCATATACCATAAGGGGATTCATACATGGGTATAGTGCCCCTACTTTTAAGGGTCATGTGGTCCTTCAGGGATTGATGAGCTCCAGCCCAGCCAAGTGCGGGCTAGATCGTATCAATGGCTCTTCTCAGCCTCTCGCTTCGATCGTCAGCTCGAAGAATCGGTTGATGATGTAAATCCTGCATTACTTTAAGGCCCTAAACTATATGGGGCATATGGTATATTCCTTATTATGGGTAGTGCAGGATTTATATCATCAACCGAATCACCCCACTGATTATCGACGTGCCTCGATGTCTTCGATGAGACGCCACCAGTTGATGTGTAGAGAACCGCCTTGTTTGCAACCAGTGGTCTTTGCAACAGGTGTCGCAGACATGTCAACTTTTGACATTGTCGTGGGGGTTCACCCTGCTGCGTATTCGGATTTGGTCATTTTTACAAAGCCATTGTCGGCCCGATTGTCAAACGCGTACACCTACCCTAAGCCCGAAACTCGGGACTACAAGCCCGAAGACCAATTGCAACATGAAGCTTATAAACCCAAAACCCCTAGACCAAAAACCTCGTAAACCCAAAGCCCAGGCGTAATATCAGCCTTTACTGGAAGAAACGATATAAACCAAAACTGTCTAAATCCTATACAGTAGAAGCCCGAAAGTTGGAACATCAACATCCCCATCCCCTTAAGGTAAAGTATAGGGGATCCTAGCACCAATCCTGCTAAGCCCATGTTCCAACTTTCTGCGGTTCACTTTAAGGCTGTATGGCTCTATCACCCAGACCCCCGGGAGGATCTAGAAAGTAGATCCCCTAATTTGGGGCCCTATACTACTAAGGGTACTTTATTAGGAACCCCCATTAAGGGATCTACTTTTTGGATCCTCCCGGGGGTCTGGGCAACCCCTACTCCCCAGCGCTCAGGTGGCATCGTGGACAGTGCACTGCTCGCTCGGCGTCATCGATTGGCCTGATTAAGCCAGGCCTGGTGTGGGATTTTCTTGGGTGGTTGTCAAAATTATGGTCCCTTGTTGGGTTCCTTAAATATTAGGTGCCGTATTATAATAAGGACCCAAAGAGGGATCCTAATTTTGACAACCACCCTCTTGTGTGGACAATCAGAAGTGGGTGCTGCTCTAAGTCCGCCATCCGCCATCCACACTCAACTGGGTGTCCTAGGGTTCCTTCTAAAGCCTTTCGGTGACTCTAACCCCCCTATAGCCCCCTAAACCTTGAACCTAACCCTCTATATTCCCTAAATCCCCTAAGCCTCAAACCCTCTGCCCTAAATCCTAAGCCCTAAACCCTAAACCCTATGCCCTAACCCGCTGCACAGATGAGTTTGTGGAGATCGCGAAAGTCCACACGGCCTCATGGAACTTCTGCAGGACAATCCCTGATTCATAGGAGGCCAAAAGGGGTTTTAGCCTATGGGGGTTAGGGATCCCTAGATTTCCTTTAAAGGGATCTAAAGGGGTTCCTTTGAAGGGACCT